CAAGTTAAAATCCGAAACGAACTTTGCCAAATTGCAAAAGCCGCAAAACCAAAACATTTCGTCGCCTGCTGCTGAAGTTCCCTCCAGTTGTTGCCTCCGGAGGATAAGGTCCCCCAAGAAGCGCAGAAAGTATCCTAGAGTCCTTGCTCAGGCACACACACAAGGACACCCACTCCCCACACATTCGAAAAGAGTTGGCAGAATTCCTTAATAAACTTTAATGACTGCGGGTGCGGGTGTCCTGGCATCTGCCGGGCTTGTGTTTGTCACTTTGGCTCCGGGTGCAAGTGCAACTTTGATGGACTCGGGTTACCTTGGCTGGCCTTGTGAGGTCCTCCCGCTCCTCCTCGTCCTTCTGCCTCTATGGCCACCTGTTCGTTGTTGCCAACTTTTGTGGCTGTTTGGCTGCCATTTCTGGCTGGTTCCAGAGGTCGAAGCAACAAACTGTTTACTTTTGGCACTTGTCTGATTTATTGGCCAGATACCAACATATTTAAATATTTTTTACCAACACTTTGAACTGTTTATTGGGGTGCTTTATTTAAATTTATAATTTAATTGCAGTTGAAGTGGTATTTATTTTTCTACAACAGGGTTGGACAATGTATTGTTTTGCTTACATTTATTCTTAATAACAATTTTTTGCCATCTTTAATGTTATTTTTGCATTTAATTTTGATTTAATAAGAAATCGGGAAATAAAGAAATTATTGCTCGCTCAACGAAACGCTTGAATGCTTTTTTAAATTGATAATCAATAGTCTATAAAAATTTAATTGCTGAAATGGATGCAATTATTTAATGCAATTTATATTATATATACAGTTTATATTGAATGCTGAGATATATCAAATTTAAACATTCAGAGCTTACAGTTTACATTAATTAAATTCTTTAAATAACTGGTTAAATGCACAATATATTTATTTCTTTAAAAATTAATAAATAGGAATCAATTTATATAAACTTTGAACTTAATGTTAAAGAAATAAAAGACTAAAAGACTTGTATTTTGCTTTATATTTAAACATTTAGTTGAAAGTATATATCATTACTCTTCCCGCAAATGAACTCAATAAATTCCCCATTATATTTAACCCCTAACTCAACTTTTTGCTCTTTATTCCGACGAATTATCCGTCATTTTGTGCTAAATCTATTTAACTTATTATGTTTTATTTGTGTCTGTTTATAAACCCAAAGAGCGAAAAAGTTGTTTTAAAAAGCATTAAAAGCTTTTAAATAACCATTAAAATAGACTGCAATGCGAACTTTGTTGTTAGCACTTCTACAAGCATTTGGATTATTGTTTTTCTTACTACAGGAAAAATATAACTAAATATATTTCCTTAAAGATAAACTGCGACTGCAGACGGTTTACAATTTTCTGTATTGATTTTATTAACTTATAAAACCAGTAATTTGAGTTCAAAATTTTAATCATTATTATTATTATTTTTTATTTTTTTATTTTAGTATATTTTTGTTGTCTTTAATAATGAATTATAACTTTAATGATGAATATATAATTCTTTTGGCAATTATTCGTTTTATGGGACTCAAATACCAGAGAAAGAGACCTAAAATAATCTAGGGACTTTAAATCGATTTTTATATTAGAATTTTGTTAAAAAATCAAAGTTTGTTAATTTTGAACTTTGATTTTTTTAACAATCAATTTTGACAATATTAATGATGTAACCCCTTATAAAATTTTCAATTTTCGGAAAAATTACAAAAATTTATTTCTTGACCGGACATGACTAGAACGACTGGCCTGTTGATGCTGATCAAGAATATATATGGTTTATAGGGTCGGAAATGACTCCTTCACTGCGTTTTAATTTTCTGACTGAAGCTTTACTCTGCAAAAAGGTATAAAAACAGACAATTTTCTTAAATAGTCGGAGTTTTCCGAACATCATAATTAAGCCAAAATAGCATTAATTTTAATTCGGAAAGCTTTTCTGTGCAGGTTTTTAAAGCACTAACAAATCTGCATACTGCGTTTGTTGATGCTGTTATAAGTTTCTGACTAAAATTATAATAACCTGCAAAAAGGTATAAAAACAGACAAATTTTCCCCACAAATCATAGTTTTAAAAACTCATAACTAAGCCAAAAATTCATTAATTTTAATTCGGAAAGCTGTTCTATGCTAGTTTATAGTAGATTAATAAAGCTACATACTCTGTTTTCAAAATTAAAAAATTCAATTTTTTGTCAAATTTTGGCAATTTTAATGATGTAACCCCTTATAAAATTTTCAATTTTCGGAAACATGTCAAAAATTTATTTCTTGACCGGACATGACCAGAACGACTGGCCTGTTGATGCTGATCAAGAATATATATGATTTATAGGGTCGGAAATGCCTTTTTCGATGCGTTTTAAGCTTCTGACTGAAATTAAAGTAGCCTGCAAAGTTATAAAAATATAAGTATAACTATTTGTTTATCTTTAGAAAATATATATATATAACTTTAATTGCAAAGCCACCTACTGTTGTCTGGGCTTATCCTGCGAGTTGTTGGCTTTAGTACTTCAGAGGCTCCTTGGCTGGCAGAGTTCCGGCCAACTTGTCAAACTTGAAACTCGGCTCGAAGGCGGCCTTTTGAATTTCGCCTATAATTTACTTGACCGTCACGTGCCACAGTCACGCATGCCACCCCCAGGGGGTGGTTGGCAGTGTGTGGTTCATAGTTGGCGGTGGCACCATGGCACCGACTGTGCAACAAGCCTGTGGGGGCATGGGGGAGGATGGTCTATGGGTGTCCGCTCATGCATTACTTATGAAATGACCGAGGCCGATACAAGGTATCCTTGTTGCCATTGGCGGCATGTTCTCAGATACTAAATTGGAAACATCGAAATCAAATTCAAATCGAAATCAGGCCGGCAGTCATTTGCATTTCGATCGACTTTCGAGATGGATATGTCCATCTATTATGCATATAATTGCACTGGGATCCCTATTTCGGTCTCTAATGGGAAAACTAACTCGGTTTCGGGTGCGAGCCAATCGCCTTGGGGGAGAGCTCCTTAAATTTTTGCTTTTATTCCTTAACGACTTTTCCATGCAGCTTAATGGAACTTTTGGGAACTATGTGACTTACCTGAACATTTTGCCAACGGGGGAAATGTTTGACGGTATGTGTTTGGTTTTTGCTTTTTGCAGTTGTTCTGCCGAATATGAAAATAATATAAAATTCATCTTAAGTCAGCGTAAAACAAAAATAGGAAAACAAAAGGGGGAATAGTCATGGCAGGATGCTTTCATATTAAAGTGAATTTGTATAAGATTCAAGTTGTCAATATAATATATTGGGCGAGGAATGTATTTTGGGTTTCTTTTCCTTAGGGAAATTAATTTTCTAGCTTTTAAAAATACTATTTAAAATTATTTTAATTCATGAATAGTAAGACAATAAGTTAGAAAACTTCCAAAGGATTTATAAAGTGGGTAAAATATTTAAATCCATACAAAATGTAACTATAAATATGCAACAAATTATTTTTAAAACCAAGTTTAGTATATAATTTTTAGTTTAATGAATTCAAAGGTGTTTATAGTCGATTACTAAGTAAACTTACCTTGATTCCAACCCTTCAAGAAACCCTTCCCACCGAAAAGCATAGAAAAGAGATGGCTCAAGTCGTAAAAAGGAAACCTCCATCAATAACCAATGATCTGGCGTGAATTTACGGCGAAATGGAAATCCGGAAAAGCCCTCCAACGGTTTTCCTCATACATATGCATGTCTCACTATAGTGAGACAAATGTTCCTTTGACTTGGCCAGTGAAAAAGGAGGAAAGCCAGGCTCGGTCCCGGGCTCAGGCCGTTGGCAATGACTTTTTTATACTTCGGCTGGGATGCGGTTTTTGCCATTTAATGGTCTTGGCCATAAAAAGAGCCGGAACCGTCGTAACACTTACCCTGCAATCGTTTTATTTAACTGCTGACTTGTTTGCGCAAATTAACACATTTATTTACGCCACAATTTGTTGCTTAAATATTTATCGAAAGCGGGAGCAGGACGAAAATTCGAGAGCGGGGAAGTAACATTAAAAATTTCTGCCTTTATTTCATATACAATAAGTACATACAGATAAACATATACATATATCCAAGTTCATACAATACACATATACATATACATAGGGGGCGGGGAGAGGGGGGTTTGCACACACACATATGTATATATCCGCGAATACATATGCAGAGAGGATTCTTTGTAATCATATCACACACACAAACGATATGGCACGCACACAGACTCGCATGCAGCATAATTGAGAGTAAATTAGCGCTATACTTGTATATAGGAATTGCGAAGCCCAAACGGCAAGTCATCCTCGTCCTTTGCCCCAATGCTGCTTCCTTCCACCTCCACTTCCACTTCCACCCACTTCCCATTCCTATTACCATTACTATCTATATCCGCATTGAGACACTCGGAAAAATAAATCGTCCTAAGTGCATAACATTTTTCTAAAAGAAATTAGCTACTTTATAAAATGAAAAATTTCTACTAAGATGCTTTATTAGCTTAAGAAAATATAAATAAAATTCTTTGAACTTTGAAAAAGGAGTCTAAAATTTTGTAGGGTTATTTTTTACATATTTTAAAGATTTGTCTAAACTGTAGTGACTTTTGTAGCCCCGGAAATAAAAAGAACTCAAAGTTAAATCTAATTTAAGAAGTATATTTCTTAGAATTTTGTTTGTATAGGAATTTATATTTAAATCGATAAAATTTGCAACATATTATTGCTTTAAATTCTTCAAAAAATCCTTTAATTTAAAAAAGGAAGCATGATATATAGAATAAAATAGTGCTACAAATGTTTTTAAAACTTTTACAAGAAACTTTAAGGAATTTTTATAATATTTTATAATTTTATAATAAGAAAATATTCTTTCGAAACCTGTTGAAACAATTTTCTAACAATCCTAATTAACCATTTTTAGGACAACACTTTTTTCCGAGTGCATGCGCATCCTGGGGCTCAAACCCGCCCCACATTTTGATATGGTTCCGCTTAAGCGGGAACGCTTAAATTCGCTGGTTGTGGCAATTGTTGCATCGCCCGCCGCCCCACCATGCCACCAGTAGCCCGGATATGCCACGCAGGCCATAAAAAACAGCTAGTAGCCAGCTCCAGGATGCAGGAAACGCGGAGTAGCCGAGTCCGGGGGCTCGTCCTTGCAGCGGCAGCTGCTCCTTCTCCAGGCAGAGCCGGAACTCATCGTAGTCGAGGCGCGTGATGGCGCAGTAATGATTGAGCATGCAGAGGCCCTGGCAGGCCGCACCGGACTGATACCGCACGGCGTTGGCTCGGTGATATCTGGGAAGGAGGAAGGAGAGCACCGTAAAAAAGTGAGGGATAAAAAATAGCTCTCAGTTGTGGTGTCATTTGGAGTCGGGAGTCCTTGTTTGCTCTAGTCTGTATCGGTGGACAGTTGGGGCAGAAGCACCAGTACCAGCAGGAGCAGCTCTCATAAATGCCCTCAACCGGGCCACTATCGTTCCACCTTGATTTACATACTGCTATGGGAGCTCTCGGGAGTGGGATTTGGAGTGGGTGGGTGTGAGTACTCCATGGTGGTCCGATTGGAGGCGTTACTATCCCCACAGTTGGACGAAAAAAATGCATAGCCCGTCAAGCTCTGCATTTCCCTGAAGTGGTTATAGATGGGGGATAACACTGGCTTTCATAGGAGATGGTTTATACTTTACTAGATTTCATTTGGGAAAATTTTGAGAGCTGTATTCTTGAAATATATGCCTAGAAACTTTGAGAATTAAAAGTCACAAAAGCGGAAATCCCAGCACCTATTTTATTATTCCTAAACAAGTTATACCTCCTTCAAAATTAACAACCATTATTAAAAGCCTCTAAAATTGCATTCCAACTTTTACCCAAAAGCAAAACAAAAACATTTGCTGGCTAGTGTAATTGAGTGTATGCTTTCCCAACTGAATAAAACTGTTCAATTTCAATCAATTAAAACTTGCTGGGGAATAAACTTTACCGGAAACAAAAAGGTTTTAACTAAATGCACACTCTGTCCTTCCCACGATCTTTGGAGTCACAAAAAGTGTTGATAAATCTATAAACTCTATTTGGCTAAAAGTTACATTTTTTGTTTCAAATTTGAGATTTTTTTGTTGAACTTTAATATGTTGAAAAACAAACAAAAACTACCCAAAGTAGAAGTCAATAAAATGCTCAGTTAAACGCGTTAAAAGTATATATCAACGTTACATACATGTGCACTTTTTGGGGGATTCATTTTCAAACGGAATTATTCGATCAATCAGCTGACAAAAAAGTAAAACACACTTTTAATATATTTTTTGTTGGAGTCTGTCACTATTGTAAAGCGAGAACCGAGCTTTACGTGAAGGGATTAAGTTGAAAATAAAAAGCCTTGACGATTTGGGCAAGGATAAAATTGGTTTTTTTTCGGGACGTCAAAATGATTGTATTGAAAGGATGCATTTCTGTAATCCTTAGAACATTTTTGGTGTGCATTTATTCTGTCAAAGATATATGGCCAGGAAATGTACCTTAATTGTATAAAATATGTGTCCGTATCTTTTTAATTTTTAAAGCTTTTATAAGATTAAAAAAGTAAATTTCCTTTGTGAATATTTAACATGTCATTAAATATTTGTAACTTTCATTATGTTACCCATATTTTCCATTGCAAAAGGCTTGTTAAACTTTCACTCTACTCTTTTGGACATATTTTTGTGAAATAAAAACTCAATTTAAAACGAACAGTAAAATAAAAATTATGAGCAGGGTAAAAACGATTTTAATGGAAGATTTAATGATGGAGGCAGTGAGTATCTCTCAGATACACCATCTCATATAAATCACTACATAAGGCCCACAAAGTTGTTACTCTTAATACCATTTTGAACAAAAATAACACTGTGAATAAATTAATTCACGTTGCTATGGAGATACTTTAAAGGTTTTCCTTCCCTTATATAAACCGAATCACTTTTAAGCATTCATAAAATCCTAAAGGACTTCCCACTGATTTCAACCAATTTTAGGCCATTTTTAATGATGTTGTTAATCCCAAAACATGGTACTTAAGGCCCAAAAATAGCTCCCCCACAAACACAAACATTATTATCTATGGCAAACCTGACTGCAAATCATCCAGTATACTCTGGGGATTATCGGTCATATCAATCAACACGGCTTGTCCAGAGTTCGCCCGGCAGTCATTTACCTGGTGAACCAGGAGAGGTCGGTGCCCGTGAAACGCTCGGCGAAATTGTGCAGCGCTCCGGCGGAGATCTCTGGCAGGGCATAGTAGTGGGTGAGATTGTACTCCGGCTGCCATGTGGGCTCATGGGCCCGGTTGGCCAGCGGCAGATCCAGCCAGAACTGCGTGTAGTCCAGCACCTGGCCACTGCCCGTGTCGAACTTGTAGAGCCGCAGGGCGGGATTGTTCGACGAACCAATGCCCGCCTTGCGGGGCACAACCGAGGGGGCAATCATCAGCCATGAAATGGGATTGCCTGGCAGATGGAACATGGAAAAAGAGCGGGAAGTGAGTGACAGCTTAGATTACACAAGGTTGCTGCAGTTTACGGGATTTGAATTCAACAGCCACAAATATACACATTTCTGTGTTTAACTTTGGTGATTTAAATTAAAGATTCTTTAGATATTTAGTGGCTGAACTTACCCTTGGCATCGTAAATCAAACGGAAGGTGTCCGAGTGCAGGTGACCAAAGAACTGACCCTGTATGACCGAGGCAAACTTGCGAACCATCTCCAGGTACCTTCGATTGTTTCGCTCTGTAAAAATCAGCTGGTTGTGCTGCTGGGGACCCAGGTGACGCTCATCCACTCCGGGCGGCATGTGTCCCACAATGTAAACCTGAATAAAGTCCAAAAGTCAAGGATTAAAGGACATCTTTCTTGGCGCACACGAAAGCGTATGTGTGTGAAATGAAATCAATTCTTGCAAATTAAATATTATAATTAATCAAAAGGCCAGGCTCTCCGATTGCATTTCAGGCACGTTCTGGCCGAGGCAGGGAAATAAATATATTTAATATATGCTTATTTACACATGCAAAGGCCTTTTAAATATCTCGTTAATTTCAGAAAGATTTCAGCTTTGGCTTTACGCGTTGTAAACATTAAATTCATGGACATCGTTTGCTGAAATTTAATATTCCGCAGCTAAATAAAGAGTATAAATTTGTGGAATTTGCTGGATATTTTGGGTTAATTAGGAAATTCTTTAGCAACATTAATTAAATGTAATATTTGAAAATAAATCCATTAATTGTTTTTACAACTATTATAATTGTTAAGGGGGTTCAACCTACCGTTTCCTGTTTATCCCTGGACTTGGTGAGCACCTCCTCCAGCCACAACCACTGCTGCTCGGCCAGGAGTTCATCGTCTCCCGTGGTGGAGCTCACCGAGGCCTTGGGCTCTCCAAAATACTCAGCAGGCCAGCGTAGACTCAGGGATGCCCTTGGATCTGGGTCAGGATCTAGACGCATAAAGTTCGTATTAAGAGCCACTATCCTTAGCCGACTCTTGGTCTGCTCAATGGAATAGTAACCGCCCTGATCGAAGGTCACCAATGCCTCGGAGGGTAACCAGTGGCGCCACAACTCCCCCAATCTTTGGTAACTACCACTTCCATCCTCGTGGCCCAAAACCGGAAAGATGAACTGCGAGGAGAAGCTGCGACCCAGCAGATCTGTAATATTTCGCAGGATCTCATGCTGCTTCTGCTCGGACAACGGCTGGGCGGAGTGGGACAGAGCATCGCCGGTCCACAGAACAAACTCCACATTGTCACCCTGCTTGGCCTTCATGGTCTTTACTGCCGACTCAATCAAGCTCCATGGACTGTCGCAGTTGTAGTTCCCAAAGTGACCAGGTGCCTCTGGCACCGTATTGGAGCTTGATCCAGGCACAGAGCGGGCCAGCTGCCAGCAGCTTTTGTAAATGTCGCCCTCGGTGGAGTAAAAGGTGTCTAAGTGCAGGTCACTTATGTGCCAGAAATATCCTGTCAAAGAAAGGATAATTAAGTATATTTTATATATTCATAAGTATTATACAAGAGAAGCCAGCACAAATAAATATGAGAGTTTCCCATTCATTTTCCAAAGACCGGACTTAGATTAGATATTGACTTTGGCTAAGTCCTCGGGCTATTCCCTCCGGGAAAGGCCATTCGCTGGGCATTTACCCGCCGGCTGGGAAAGGAGAAAAACCTGGTTGCCCCAGAGAATTCCCTGCAGCTGACTGCTTGGTTGACTGACCTGGACTTAGCCGCCTTTTTTTTCCCTACCTGGCCGAAAGTCACAAAGCCAAAAAGTCAATCGGCGAGCCAACGTGTTGAGTGGCTGGCGTTAAAGGAGATCAGTTTCATTTGGCATGCGCTTCGATCGGTTGCCTAGAAGATACAGGCGCAGATTGCGAGACAGGATCAGAGGACAAAGACAGCGATTGGGAAAAGGACACCGAACGAGAAGCACAGAAAGAGGCATTCCTTTCATGCCCGGTGAGAGCGCACGGTGCTGAGTAAAAAGATAGCAGGATGAGCCTAATAAGGATCGGGCTGGCGCTGCTGCTCCTGGTGGCCACCACTGCTCAGATGGTGTACCCGGTTCAGGGACGTCGGAAGCTGTGCGGCGAGGCGCTGAGCGATGCCCTGGACCTTATATGTACCAACGGCTTCGCCAGTCGGGCTAAGCGGAGCACCGGTAAGTACATCAGGATCCAATTTATAAACAATTCCAAACTAATTTCGATCTCAAGCGGTGCAGGACAGAGGGTTGGCCCTGATCCGGAAGCTCCAGCCACATCGGCCGGAAATGGACATGGACATGGAAACGGAAACGGGAACGGACCGTCCAGCCACCGGAAGCTTACGCAAATTGCGACGCCTGCGACGCCGCGTGGCCCACGCGTGCTGCAAGGAAGGCTGCACCTACGACGACATTATGGACTACTGTGCCTGAACAGCACAGCCAGATCACGTCCACAAACAGTTGCAGACCAGACCCGATGGAGCACCAGAACCCCACATGGCAGAGATCCCGAGCAGGAGCAGGACTACGAGAACGAGCACGAACAGGAGGAGCGGAGGCGAAACAGCAAGGACAACAACAGGCAAAGGACCAACGATGATGCGAACAATTCCCACAGAGAACCCAACCCACGGCGTTCTGCAATTCATTTTCCTACACTTAACCCTAAATATAAACGTAATCATATTTCCAAATATTTCATTGTAACATTCTTAGTGGAAGCAAATAAAGTTACTCTCCAACAAGCAGCAAGAAAACAAAAGATTTCTGTCCTTTTCACCGCCAAACAGTGGGCTCATATTTTATATTTCTGCTGGAAATTATAATTTCATTTAGAAGATTTCAAAACAGTGATCACCATCATCAGCCAAATTGATTTAGCTATGTTTGTTGGGTAAATTTAAACATGGATTTAGAGAATGCATATATTTCACGTCCTCTGAAAGGCAAAATATGCTCAAAAAGTCAAGGCCAAAGGTTTTCTATATACCAATTCGTCATTGAAATCTAAAATATCAATTGGATACTGGACAGCTGGAAGTTATTTTTATATAAATTTATTTTAATAATTTAAAGCTATTAGATCTAGGGGCTTCGAAGGCTTAGTGGCTCTTATTCCATAGAATTCAAATACCCATACTCATACTTTCGGTTTTTAAATCCACTTAAATCTATTCTCTAAATCACCTTTCAAAATTCCAAAGAATTTTGGTTATTCTTCCATAGTAACTTAACGGCATTCCAGCTGTGCACTCAATGCCACAGCGCTTGGGGGAATCCCCAAACTCAATCCCCAACCATTGCCCACAGCCAACCACGAAGGCAGGCAAACGGCGCCACCCATCGCCACCCAACGGCAGCTGCCATTCAGCACCTTGTTTTCCGAGAACAATAATGAAAATTATGAATTTTTAATTAGATGACGTTCTGATTTTAATAAGCAAAACAAAAGAGGAGCCGAAACGAACGAGGAATACACTGAGTTTCAGTTTCTGTTTCATTTTCAGTTTCAGTTTCAATCTCATCCCTTCCCTTCCCGCTTATCGATTGAGTTGGTCGATACGATATACAAAATAACAAGTAAACAACTTTCAATCGTCAGCGGTTTTCCCTCAGATAAGTCACTTTTGTCCAAAAAGATTTGCAATGATAATAGGTAACGAGGCTTTCAGGTAAAAAACTACCTGACTTTCGGACGGACTCAAAGGCTCAGCGGCATACTTATCGCATTCAAAAAGGGGAACTTGCGGAAGGGAAAGGGAAGGGAAACCCCAAAGTGTTGAAGCACTTAACAAAGATAATGAGATAACACAAACGGCCTTATTGTTTTCCCTGTAAAGCAATTGAATAATAAGTTGGCCCTTGTTTTTGTTTATGCCATTTTCAAGTGAGAAAGGACGAAGCAGGACTTTGGAAAAATAATCTGCAGAGGGAAATAAGAGTGACAGAAAATAGGAATTTTTAAATTGAATCTTAAAGTAGACTATATTTTTGGAAAATATGCAATAAAGAAATATTTATTTAATGAACTAATTAAAATGAACCTATAGTTTAATAGATTCTTTAAACGAATAGTTGAGAACACTGGATTTTAAAGCTTTAACTGCATATGTAACAACATTTCAATGAAAATTCATGAACTAACTTTGCCACACACACTCGTGTTGAATTTTATAAAGTACAGGGAGCTTGTTAGCAGGGAAAACTTTTTCCGGCGCACATCCAGGCGAAAATGTTAAAGACTCTCGTCTGCCTGGCAGAGCACTCGATATGGCCGTCATCTTGTTGTTTTCCAGCTATCCAGATCCATCCGCTCCATGCGTTATTATTTGTTCGAGAAAGTAAACAAACGTCAGCTGATGTACGTAAGACCCCCCGGTCTCAGCCTCAGCCCCATTACCCGCTGGGAATTTCAGGCATCCACAGCCACGAAGGGATAAATAACAACCCACACCAAAGGCCAGAGACCAGATACCAAAAACCAGAGACCAGAGACCAGAGAACCCAACTGTGGTGCTAACTGACACTCTGGCTAATGCGGCCTGACAGTGTGTGGACTCTGTGCTCCTCGGATCGCCTCGGACTCGGGTTGATATAAAACCCTGCGGCACGGCTGGGAGCCCGCACAGTCGTGGTTGGGCCACTTGGCAGACGACACCTCTACATCCACTCCGGGACAGAGTGTAGCAGCATCATGGCCATCGAGATGCGGCGCCGGATCGTTTTCCATGGTCTCTTCCTGCTAATCCTGCTGATCGCTGGAGTACGAACCAATGTGATTCTGTGCGGTGAGGAGCTAACCGAGACTCTGTCCAGGATATGTCACTACGGCTACAGGCGAAATGTGGGTAAGTCAAGACCCAAACTAATGTCTATATATTTCAGTTGTTGTACTTTAGTTTTCTTTTTTTTACTGTGAAAAATCTTATGAATGCTCACCTTGAGAAAACTCATTTATTTAAAGCATATACTCATTTTTCTTGGCATCTGCAAAAAGTTATTAGTAGGGAAATTTTGTTTCAAGTTTAAATCTGATTAATGAATTGTATTAAGTGTGATTTAAATCAACACCTTTTGAAAAGTTTTGACAATTGTTCGTCACTAGATTTTCCATGACAGATTTTCTTAAATGTGTCTATGTTTATATATAAAATTTCAGGAAAATGTATATATATATGTATATCTTCCTGCAATGCCATTTTATGTGGATTTTTATACCCTTTGCAAGGGTATTATAAATTCAGTCAAAAGCTTGTAACTTAGTGAAGGTGTCATTTCTGACCCCATAAATGATATATATTGTTGATCAGAATTAACTGCCAAGTCGATCTGGCTATGCTGGACAATATTTTAATTTTTTCAAAAATTTCCAAGTTTTATAAGGGGTTACATCATTAAAATTTTAAAAAATTGACAAAAATTGGAATTTGTATAAACGTTAAATGGAGTATGCAGGTTTATTAGCATAATAAAAACTAACATAGGAAAACTTTCCGATTGGAAATTAATGCATTTTTGACTGAGCTATGATGATTTTCTCTGAAAGGGTATAGAAATTTCGGTTACAGCTTAACTAAGTTTTTTTAATAAAGTATAAAATGAATTAATCTTCTCTTATTATTATTGGAAATTAATGAATCATTGATTGTTTATGAACTATTTAATTTAATGTAATAAAGAACTTTCTGAGATTTCAATTAGTTAAGAATAGCATAGGGATAATGGTTGTAATTAGCTTTAAAAATATATTTATGTCTCTCTTAACGATTTAAGTTATTAAAGTATTATTTAGTGTTTAGGTATTTATATAAATTTTATATTTTAGATAACTGTTGCTATTTATTAACCCAAATTTATTTCTTTTGCATTCCGCAGGTCTCAACTCCATCCCAGACAGATCCCATGAACTGAGCTACGAGGAACGTTCGCTCCTGGATCGGATACGATATGGGAGTGGCGTCATGAGCCTAAATGAAGCCTGTTGCTACAAATCCTGCGCCATGGAGGAGCTATTGCGATACTGTGCCGACAAGCCCGTTCCATGAAGCCTCCTTCTCTTGCCAAAAACTACAGAAAAGATCTGAATAGAATCCCCCTTAGGTCTTAGTTCGCCTGTAAAGCCCACTTAAATATCCTTCGGATATGATGTGAATGCACGCACTCATTCATTGAATGGGCGATGTATGCGCATAATTTATGATCGGAAATCAGAGACAGACACGCGAAATGAATCGGAAAACGGGGCGATATATGCATGTATATATGGTAGAATATATGTTTGGACAAGGGCCTGAATACATCGACTGGGTATAAATTAATAAATAAATTATGTATTCAAACTGCTGCAGATTGGGCAACTTGATTGGTAATTAAACGGGTATTACATTGATTTTTCATTGTCGTTGATTGCAGTTAATTATTTATAGAACCAATGTCCGGGAATCCAGTTTGTAAACTAACTTTGGGATGGAGGAAACAAAGAGGTTTTCGAATGAGTTCTGCAGACTGTGTTTTAATTTAAAATAATGGCAGTTTTTATGACCACAACAGACGAAGTTGACAGTTAACTTCATTTAAAGCGGATACTGTGGCTTGAGGTTTCAGAATCATATTTGCTTTAGTTTATATTTTTAACTAAACAATTAAAGCAGCTGCCTATTATTTAATATATTCAGCTGTATACATATATTTTAATTGATTCTTCTTTTTATATTTGATGTTTTTGTAATAGTATTTGGTTTCATTCTCAGCAGGGCTTTCTTGAATGATATTTTAATATTTAAATTTAATATTTCTTTATCTTTCTATATACATTTATTTTGGGATCTTAGAGAATCCTAGTTTGCTAAGACCAACTTAAAATTTAAATTGTTCCTTTTTTATCTTTTTTTAAAATCAGATTTCAAAGGAATTTTTATAATATTAAATTCCCAGTTAATTGTTTGTAATATCACTGTATTTGAGAACACTTTGCACTTGTATGGTTTGCTAACGTTCAAAGCAGGATATATTTAATCTATATAGATCTATGTAGATCTATTTAACATGCAACAAGCTACTTTATATAAAATCATCATCATCCTTCGTGTCTTCTAGCTTTTAACCAATTCCAGAGTTAAACAAATGGGTCCTGAGTCCTGAGAGTTGAGTGAGTGTTCGGGATCCGTGGGAAATTTACGGACTGGCCGCCACGGAACAGTACTCCATGAGGACGGGGTAGGGACAGGTGTGCTTGCAGCACCTGTCCACGATGCCCTCCCGCGTGCGTCGCCGTATGGAAGCCAAGGAGTTGAGGACTGGAACTTCGCCTCCGTAGAAGCGACCGCGCAGGAGCGGACTGGTCAGCTGCTCCGCTTCCTCCTTGGCCTCCACATACTGAATGGGATCGAGCGGGTCCAGTTCGCTGGCAACTGCAAGGGATTCACAAGTGGGGAGGTGAAGAGAAACTATCTACCTGGAGGGGATCTTCCGGTGGAACACTTACTCATGCCTCGCTTCTGGGGCATTATGCTATTGAACTCTTGGCACACCATCATCATCATGTCGTTGAGCTTCTCGCTGCACAGCCTGTAATCCGAGTACGGCAACTGGGCCAGCGAGGAGTTGCAGGCCAGGAGAAGCACTAGGAGCACCGAGCTGATGGAGACAACTGCCTTGCACATGGTTGTGTCGCTGTGATCTTCTGGGGATTAACTCTGGGGGAGCCGCTTGTGGAACTGCTGTTTGCTGCTGCTGGTAACTAATGCTGTTGGGTCGAACGGAGCACGCTTATATACAAACTGGGTCTCGGTCTGGATCTGGGTCTGGGTCTGGGACACTTTAACCCCGGAGGCAGGCAATGTCAGGTTGCGTTAGCCCCGGGATGAGTGCATCCGGGACTCTTCGCCTGGCTAAACTCGTTCAATGTCAAAGCTGACTTATGCAAATGGATATTGGCAAACCAGGGGAACGGGAAAGGGTCTTGTCTCTGTCTCTGTTTTCGGTTTTCTGGGGGCGTTTTGCTGTCAGCCAATTAAACAATTTATGTATAAACAGTAAGGCCGTGCTAAGCCCTGCATTTATGAATACCAAATGAGCAAGGACGAAAGTCCTTCGCACTCGTACACACCATACTTACCAATGCGCGCCTGGGCCAGGCCGAAACAGGCCAAAAGCCAGCTCAATTGTGCCAGCATCTTTGGGCCTTGGGCTGGCAGTGGATTCCTCTGGCGCCTCCTTAGAACTTTTCCTTTGACGCCTGCTCCTCTGGCTTTGACTTCTGCTCAAACTCGAAGTCGAAGTCGAACTCAAACTCGAACTGGAATTTCTTTTTGCACTGTCTACTTTTATTCATTAGTCAAAGTTGGTGCTGCATAAATAAGTTATTACGATTACGAATCGGATTACGAGTGAACAGGGCGAGAGTATGTAATGGGTATGTAAGGAATGTGTGTGCTTGTGAGTGTGTGTGTCCTGGTGAGTGGGTCAAGTGCTTCAATTGGACAGGCAATAGGCGGATATCTCGTCGTAGGAGCAGGGGGACACACAGCACTCATCGTAAACGCCACCGGGGAAGTGTCTCCTCTGGCGCCGTGTCTTGATCCCAAAACCAGAGGCCACATCTCCGTCGCCATCTTCGAGTGCATACCAATTGGACAGCAGCAGGTGTGCCAATGGGGAGGAGGAGTAGTCTGCTCCTGGCACACCGGACTGTGGTAAACGCTTCTGGGGCAGCGTGTTATAGCCATTGGCGCACACCAGATCCAGGGCTTCGGAGAGCGCGGAACCACAAAGTTTGTGGTTGCCGGTTGGCAGCTGATGACCACTGGCCAGGATGGCTATAATGGGCAGCATAGCGATTAGCATCCGCAGACCATGAACTGCACCGGTGTCCTGGCAAAACATCTTCTTCACTGTGTGTGCAGATTGGAGTCAGCTTCAGCTGGTATTTATACCACCAAACACATCGATTTTCGCTGCAGTTCAATGTCCTGGCACAGGATGCAAGTTGCAAACATTGCAGGCTCCCAAAAAAAAAAAATGGGATGACTTTTTGCCAGCTGTAATTTAGGCAAAGGAGTCGCTGAACAAGACTAGATTCTATTTTAAGACTTTGTTCTACTTGAACTCTGTTTAAACATATTTTTACACTGTCATTTAAAGTTATTTAAAAGGGGTAACGATTGCCCTAATTTGCTATCAAAACTATTATGGTCTCTTTTACATCTAAGTAGATTTTAAAACTCCTTTCAATCGTGCTTTTAATACTCAATATCTTCTTTTGGCTTATTTCTTGTTTGTATTTCTATTTCCCAATTGCTAATTTAATTTGTATCGATTGTGTTTCTTATTCTTAGCTTTTGATTATCCGTAAATAAAATATATATTATTATTATTCACAAAGGCTTTAAGTATTGGAATCTATACAATACTATCCATTAAGTAATCTTTATAATTCTGTGGAATCTTTACTGTTTCATGGTTAAATATTGGATTGAAATTAATGCCACGGAAAGATAGTACAAACACTTGTTCTTCATAAGAATTTTCGGAACCCACAAGTCCCTAAAAGCCTTAAGTTTATAAAATAATATGAATAAAATATCAAAAAATTTTTTCCCTCATATTCTTTCAGTGTAATCTACAGCACAGAGCCACCCACATCGTTCCACCTTTGTAACCTGTTACTTTGCCGCTAAGAGGCTGTGACTGCTGTCGATTGCGATTACGATAACGCCGTGGCTCCCCTGGGATTAGATTGGACGGGAACAGGTGGCATGTGGCAAGTGGCAGCCTCATTTGCATGCCATTGCCGCCAGGTGGAAAGTATGCTTCACTGGGCGGCTTTCCTCAACGGCGACGACAGTGTGCGAAATCGCTGGTCGTCGATCGCTGGTTCGATTGTCGATTCGGATGGCGATGGCAACAGTTGGTCGCCAGCGCTGCACTCGAGACGTATTCGCCGAGGAAAAACTCCGGAAAAGTTTGTGACAAAAGAAGGCCGTAAAAGATCGGAATCGGATTAGGAATCGTGGGAACAAATCCAGGATAAAAATGGTGCTCGACATTAAGATGTGCCGCTTTGACAATGTCCCCTGGGGCTTTCGCCTCGTCGGAGGCTCGGACTACGACTATCCCCTGATGGTGGTTAAGGTTAGGCCCGATCTATATGGACTATATATATATATCTTTGAGAGTGCCCTACTCACCTCACCTCACCTGTCACCTGCTGCTGCTGCTGCTGCTGCTGGCAGCAGTCGCCTCACACCTGAATGGCTTATCTCTTGTGCATTGGGAAAATCCCCACAAATAAGCGAATAATGTTTCGGACATTAATTCAGTGTTTTGTTATTTTTTATTTCAATCGGCAATTACGTAACGCAGTGCGTGTGTGTCTCGGTGTGTCCGTGTGTCGATTTGGATTTGCGCTGCATTGGCAAATTAGTTTAGTTAATTAAAGTAATTCCTCGTGGCCCAGCGCTCGCCTTTGTTTATCTAATCGACAGGCCCATGCATTTTCCCGCTAATGAGCCGCATAATGGCCCAGGCTGCCACCACCGTCGACTTATTCAAATTCAAATTCAAATTTTAATTGTGTTTCACTGGCAGTGTCGTCTCGCTTTGTTGCATTTTGTAGTGCATAAATTGCATTTTACATTTCGAATTTCACAGTTTGTAGCACTGTGTTGACACCCAGCGGCAGCAACAATAAAACATTGGCGCAAATTCGAAACAAATGCGATTTTTAATTGGCAAAACACAACCAGCGAATGCAAGGGGAGGTCTTCCGGTTCCCATTGCCATAAATCAATTTAAATCGAAGCATAATATAAACAGGCTGCTAGAGTAATAAATTAAAAATCGTTATTTTAGCTACAAGCAGTAAATAATTAATTTCGTAATGTTTAGAAAAGCTAATGTATAAAGTTTTTGTTAGCTTTCTGTTGAATGGATATATAACTAAAGGATTATACATAAATTTATTAGAAAGATAGTACTTTAATTATCTAATTTCAGGAATTTCGCTAGTATTTGTTTTAATTGAATGTCTATTAAAATCTAATGAAAGGGAATTTTAGCTTCCTTTGGATCTTGCACCGAAAGCTAATTTTAATCGAAGCCCACTATCAACAAACAAAGCAAAAAAAACATAATTTGAAATACATTGTTTTTATAAATTAACTACAATTAGGTTGAGTGTCCCTTGAAAATATATATATTAGTTACATTTACTATAGACTTTCCTAGTGTTTTCCAAGCTCTTTAAATGGTGTTGAAAAGAATGCACGTTTGTGTAAATTAATTAAACACCATTTAGTTCTTAATGTTTTTTTTTTTAAGGGAACTTCTATAGTAACCATAATACTTTTCTTCTCTGTCAATTGATTTCCCTGAATCTAATAAAAAAATGTCCCATCTCCTGAAATATTTCCCCAAAATTCAATTTCAAATAGAATATATGTTAGACAGCGGAATGCTTACTCACATATCCCATAAGTTGTTCAAAAATATTTAACTTGAAAACATCCCCGCTTTGGGATCACATTTTCCGCGACACTTGCAGTTGATTCCATTTTATTTTATTTGATGTTCCAACATTCAGCGCCATATGTTTGCTAGACAAACACTAAACAAGCGCAGTCAACGTAATCTTTTGAAAAACCTCTGTTATTCTTCCACTTTTCGCTCTGCCTCTTGGCACTTTTGCACATCCTTGAGCACATATATACAAACAGATATATATATAAGAGTCGGGGCTAAGCCGGCAGTCAGTGTTATATATATATATATATATATATATATTCCGACCTCTGTCGATGTCGAGTGTTCACCGCTGGAAATTGACTCCCCGCATAAGTGAAATGCAAGAGGCTCCGGGGAAACCCCTCGTATTTTTCCTGCAGTATTTGCATTTCTAAGTCCTCTTGCAGCCAATGTCGTGACTTTCCCGGTTTTGCAACGCACAAACAATACTGTTTTATTTGCTGTCGAAATTCCTGTAAAATCACCTGAATTATATAATATATACATTCGAGTTTGAAAAACAGGGGGGAAGCCTTAACATCAAAGTTCCATCAACATTTCAATTCGCATTCATAACTTTTTGCGCACAATTAGAAACAGTTTCGCAACACACAAATGCGAGTGTGTAGAAATACTACATTCATATGTGAAAGCAATTTAATCCCCATGAAGTAGAGGGATTTTTAATGAATACCCACATTTTAAATGGTCAATTTGCACACGTTTGTGTGCACTTTATTGCCCAGAAAAACGGCAAAACTTAAATCGTATTTAGTTATAAATGTGCTCGGACAACTTTTTGAAATTAAGTCCTCTGTGTAGGTTCCTTTGTGTTATTGTTGGATGGGGGGCAATATAATCTGGTTGGCAAATGGAAACTAGAAATGGGGGTTTTTCTTTTTATTAGAATATGAGTTTAATTTCTGTTAAACGTAGACTTTTGAAAAGGTTGTTTGCATGGGTTTGCATAACTATGAGTGGATACGGAATTATAGTGTACTTTTAGAAGGTTTTGAAGGGATTTGAAATCTGTAAAGGTTTTGTTTTAGAACTCTTAAGCTGTTCTTGAGAGTTTCTCCGTATTATAGGTATAGATTATAGCAAACTCTACAAACATTTTCAATCTGCAGAGGTTTGATTAGATATCTGTTTTAGTTAAAGATATGTATACTTTATACTTTTAAAGTGTTTCAATATATCTATCTTGTTTTATTACATATTTTTGTATAGCCAGAGTTACATACTATATCATAGCATACTTTTCGACAGCTGCACAAGCGATATTCAATCTCTAGAGGATTCATTAGAGACTTCTCCCTAGCACTTGACAAGTATTTGCCCGAAGAGTGCTTCATATTAACATACTTGGGCTAATTTCCTTGCACTTAATTGGAGAGCTGTTGATGTGTTTCCTCATTTTTCTCAAGCACCCCTCGCTAGGCACCCAAAATGGGGGGAATCCCCCTCTTGGGCACATTGTCTTCCCATTTTCGAGGCGTGCGTGCCGCACAGTGTTCTGGGGTCTGGGTCTTCGCTTCTCTTCACTTCTAGTCTTTGTTTTGTTGACATTTGGCGCGCGCTTTATTTTTATGCACTTAGCACGCGACGCCGCGTCGCTGTCGCTGTCGCCGACTAATAGAAATTTTCCCATTATCGCAATGCGTCCATTGTCCCGTATCTGTATCTTCAGCTGTGTCTGTGTCTGTATCTGTATCTGTATCTGTATCTAAATCTAACCATGTGCCTGCTCTCGAACTCTGGGATGATAGGTGACCGAGGGCAGCATTGCCGAGGAGGCTGGACTGCGGGTGGAGGACATCATCGTTCGCATCAATGACACGGCTGCCATGCCCCTAACCCACGATGAGGCCCACCGGCTCATCATGAACAGCGGCAGCGTCTTTTACTTTGGCGTCTACCGGTGAGTGTTTCCTGGTCCCCTAGCCTTGCTCTTTGGTCTTGGTCCTTTGTGTCCCATCCGCCGAGGACCATTTATCACGGCCGAGCGGACTAACAACCCAAGGACCTTTCATTATACCCTTGCAGAGGATGGGTTCATTCTGGGTAGTAGTTTGGAAGCATAGAAAATTCTGTGTTCTATTTTTAGAATAATTAAACTCAGGTGTCCTTAAAACTATAATTCCTCAGAAATAATTAGTTCATGCAAAAGAAATTATTATATTAGCTCACGTTTTCGCCTAGAAATAAATTCTCCATACTCATTTGAGGTATACCTACCCTAAGATTTATGGCTCAAAAAGCGTTGAAGAGCATGCCCAAAAACTAAATTTAGTTGGAATTTGGTTTGCGGTCACAAAAGCTTCTGTCCTGCCTCTGCAAAAGGGCATAAGTAACCATGAGTCCTGGTCCTGCTGAACCTGCAATTCCTTTCTCTTCTCTTCCGTTCATCTTCTTTTTTTCGGTGATTTCACAGAGAGAACGAGGAGGACGCCTACGAGTGCCTCCAGAAGTTTCCCTTGAGCGAGGGTTCGTTGACCAAGTCACCCACGCCATTGCTAAGGCCATCGCCGACTCCATCACCGTCTCAACCTGCAACTCCCACGCTGCTCCAGCTGACGGAAGCCACAAATGCCCGTACTCCGGAACCGGAGACCCTTGCTCCTGCAGCTGCTGATGCGCCGGCAGCTCCTGCCTTGGAATTCGCTGCCGTTCAAGCGGTGGATGTGAATGTCACGGCGGAATGTCGCCCAGCCATGTCGGAAGTGCATTCGGAAGACAATCGCGGGGATGTGCCAGCTGAGGCGGAAGAAGCCAAAGTCGCTGCAGAAACCGAAGCCGAAGCCGGAGTTGCAGCCGGGCAAGGACTCGGAGCAGGTCCTGGTCTCTACTTGCCCGATTTGCCCGATCGTCCGTGCTCCGCGCTGTCCGAACGGGCGGAAATTAAGCTGGTGGAGGAGGAAATTGCCGCCGTGCTGTCCGGCGAGTCGGAGGTGCTCAAGGAGCACAATGTCCTCGGGTGCGTTGCATTCAATTTCACCCGTTTCCTGCTGCTGTCCACCAGCCAGTTCTGCCTGTTCCCCCCAGAGTCCCTTTAGCTGAGTCCTTTTAACCGCTTCCACATGATAGCGTCAATTTCTATAGGATCTTCCCCAAGCCGGGCGTCTGCATGTCCAGCGACGTCCTGCGTTCGCTCAACGAGGAGGTGACCAAGACGAAGCTGGAGAAGGACAAGGAGAATCGTAAGTGGTCCACCTTCCTCCAGAGGCCCAACCGGCCGGTGCCCAAGAGCAAGCAGCAGCTGGAGGCGGAGCGTCGGGCGGCCAATGCCTACAAGGTGACGATTGTAAAGTCCGCGCCACGCGACAAGTCGCCCATGGTGAGTGTCCTCCAGAGTCCAGCTTCCGCTGACCGCACTCGGGGGGAAAAACCACCTCAAATTTACTGAAGTTAAGTTTTTTCTCCCTGTGTGGTTTATTTGCTGTCCGGATCAGAAGTTAATTTTCTCAATATGTGTGACAGCCGGAAGCTAAGCCGGCGCCAAAGGAAGCCACGCCACCCAAGGAGGAGGTGCCGGTGCCAGAGCCGGAGCCGGAGCCGGAACCAGAGCCAGAGGCCGAGAAGGAAGAGGAACCGCTACCCACGGACAGTGAGGTGCCGAATCTGGAGCAGCTGCCGGAGAGCGAGTTGCCACCGGACGAGCAGCTGGAGAAGGGCGATGCCTCGAAGGAAGAGAAGGAGGCCTCGCCGGAAGAGGCTTCACTGGCAGCTACCGAGAACGGTGAAGTAACCGCGCTAACCGATGCCCCGGCATCTCCTCCGGCAGAGCCCATTACTCCACCCAAAACCGAGGAGGAACTGGCCCTTGAGCGGCAGCTGGCGGATGTCCAGAGGCAACTGGCTGCCCTCTCATCGCTGCCCTCGACCATACAGTCAACCCTGGATGCGGTGACCAAGCAGCTGGCCGAATTGCTGCCCACATTCAAGCTGCAGCAGCAGGAGAGGCGGGCGAGTCAGGAGGGTCAGGAGCTACCGCAAATCGATGAAAAAACCGGCAGCGAGCCGGATGAGGATGGTGCAGGTGCAGGTACAGGTGCTGGAAACTATGCCCAGGTCGACAGTAATTAAATTTTTCTAATGGCGCACTTTTGCGTATGTCCCTTCGTTCTTTACGGCCCCTCGTGTCGTTCCGCAGGCAAAGCCATATCCGTATCTGGACCCGACAAGGATTGCCCAGCGGGGCCATGTGAGAGTAATGAGGATAGATGCGATGCCAATGACCGGGAAGTTGCGGAAATTTCGCGCTCAACTGACGACAATCGCCTGGCCAAGGACAAGAGCAAGGATAAGGATGCGGACGGGAATGGGGACGGGACCGAACAGCCCATGTCCGAGGAGCAGGGCTTCAGGAAGCAGAAGGTGAGTGCCGGTCCATGGCCTTGGAGCCTTGGAAATGAAATCCCTGGCAGGGCAGTTAATGTAATTAGGCTGTCATGAGTTGGGTCTAGCAGCTTTTAATGGCATTAGAGAGCCTCCTCGGTCTGTTTTCTGTTCACTCCTGTCCCGTCCGTTTCAGTTTCCGCTCCTGGACAGGACTCGTGCTAAACTATTTAGAGCAACAGGATTAAGCATCCTGCTTTATGGGATATGTTTCATTGTTTGACCGATGGAGCTGCAAAAATATTCCCATCGTCCTTTTATAGTCCGCCTTTCTGACCTACGCAGGCTGATTTGTTTAAGGATTTGGTAGCTTATTAGAGTTGGTTTAGTGGGTTTCCGTGTCAGGAAACTGAGGTAAAAGTAATAAACCAAGTCGCGGGAATGTTTATAATTTTCAATCTTCGGATTAGTAATGCAGATGGAGGCTTAACTTTTGAATAGGAATTAGGTTAGAAATTCTAATAGAAGTTTTGTAAATGAAATTAAATTCCTTAAAAGCCACCCTGAGATAATAAAATTCTTTATAATTTGAGCTGAGCCCAGCCAGATGATGTACGAGTAATAAGGTGCAGTTAAGGCAGCATAAAATTAATTAATCATCGCAAAGTAAGAATGATTCAGTTTAAAAGTGGGTCAACTCCAAGACAAAAAGACAAAACAGAACAGGAATAAAAACAAAAGCAGTTGGAAAAGTGGCTCTATTTTGATTGAGATGGCAGAATAATAGAAGGAATTTCCTTGGTCGCAAAGTCCTCACAACTATTCGGTTGAGTTCCGGAGTCAGTTTTTATACCGGGACAAGCAAACCACTTTGGGGCCACATTATCCAGCTGCGGAGGCTGTGGGACAGCTCGGCAGCTGGACCTTCTCAGCGGGTCCGTGTCCACAAATCAAATTAACTAAAATGCCATTTGGTTTTTGTCTTTTTCTACTTGCAGCATAATGTGCGCTTCCAAACGTAGTTAGTTAGCTTTAATCGAGTTTAAATTTTGATAAATTGCCAGTGGCAAGTCCAAGACGCTTCGTTTCGTTTCGTTTCGGTTTGGTTTTCTAGTTCTCTGATAATATCTGAATATCTGAATAAAGTCCTTGCAGCAGCGGCAGGGGAAAAATGCAGAAACCAAAAGACAATTAGTAGGCACCAAGTGGAAAGTGGAAAGCACTTCAACTTTCTGTCCTGTCCCGTCCTGCCCTGTCCACTTGATTCCTACGCCCCCAGACTAGCAACCTTTTATTCTGACATGCCCCCCAAAAAATCTGTGTGTGTGCCTTTTCCATGTGTGCCTTCTTCCCCCTTGCGGCATCCAGAGACACGATGTCATCGAGGAGCTTGAGGAGCATCTGGTGCGCAAGAACAATCCCCGGCGGTCGAAGCGCGCCTTTGGCCCCTTGGTCCCGTCCTCGGAGCGTCCGTTGGTCCTGCCCGGTGGCCGGCGCTGGTACCGTCCCAAGGATGCCTACAACGATGAGTTCATTGCCGAGACCCTGAGCGCCCAGGCGGAGCTCATCACGGGCAGCACTCTCGGGTGGGTACCTCCTTCTCCTCCACATGGACACCTCCCATAAGCACACTCATCCCCATTGCGGCTAGTTGGCAATGTTTGGCCATGTTTGCCGTGGTCAAGCTCCGGCCATCGCATCTCATCTCATGTCATCGCTCTGTCTACAGAGCAAACACCAGCACAGAGAGAAAAAAAAGGTAGAACTAGGATATCTTTTCAGAAGATTTAGATTTTTAAAAACAATAGTATGTTTTATCAGATTTATCTCAGATTTTTAAGTACATGAACCATGACTGTCATTGCTTTGAAATCAAATGTTGATTTTGCTGCACAATCGAAACCCTTTGAAATATTAAAGCAAGAAATGGAAACAAGGAACATTTCATGCGAAGGACTAAAATTCAAATTGAACAATGACAGCTGCAAGAAATATTATTATTTCCTTTTGCCTTGAAGGAAATGTGTGCAGCAGAAATATAAATTTAAAGCATATTTTAAAGGATATATATTAGGTGGTAAATTTACTAAGCTTGATTATGATTTATTGTGTTCATAGTGCAGAACTATTAAATGTTAATTAATGTGATTTTATCTATCTATTTATGCTATCATTGTTAGTTAGATATTCTATAGGTCATACTGACAATGTCAAAGACAAATATAAACCCAAGCTTGCTGCCTTATTAAAATCTTTTGGGTGTAATTAGCACAAAGTTTTGCTTTAATTGATGTGTTTAAATATTTATATATAAAGACTAAACATGATAAGTTATCAATTCGATGAAATTATTACAAGAAAAGTAATATATATAAACATGTTTAAAGAAGGACCCCACAAAATTAGGCAAAAGTTAGAAGGTTTCTTGGATAACATCCAAACTATCGAAATATAATTTCCCAGATACTTTACTTTAAAATTCGTTTTCCATGTTCTGGCAGAGATTTATTTTAATATAACCAACAAAAAGCGTAACCCCTCGAGGTTGACCATTTGGTGTGGTGTTGACAACCCTCTCTCTCCCTTTTTTTTGTCTCTGTGCAAAAACCGCAGACACTCCACCTACAAAAAACCCCATAACGTTAGCTCATCGCCCGGCATTCATTTTCTTCACTTCTTCACTTTTCCATGGAACCTCTCGCACTCGACTCTTTACATCGTCCATTGCACCATAAATTTGCGCATTAGCAGCTGTCCATACGAGAGCCCCTTGCTGGGCTACGATTCCAGGTAGTGTTTGATGGAGTAGCCATAGTGGCCATAGTGGCCATGTACCATATACCCAGATGATGCACCCAGCCGCACACCTAGCACACCTAGCACACCTGGCATATATCACCATCTAGCACTCTCATTATGATTATCGTTGACATTATCGTTGGCATTACGAGACAGGGGACAGGGACTGCGAATGCGACTGTGACTGCAACTGGAAGCCATTGTGCACAGTGCCACACAGTGATTCGCAGACTCATTCCCTCTATCTATGTCTATGCTGTTCCATATCCTGTCATACGGCCTGCAGTTGATTTGACTTTTCGTCCTGCGTTCCGCTTGAGTTCTTTATGCATGCTGCCTTTGAGTTTGGCTCTGATACCGCCTCTCTGCCTCTCTGCCCTTTAACCCCTGGATCATCTCGTTTTTCTCCTTTTGCTTTTCGCTTTCTGATTTTCATTGTAGATTGCATTTTGGAATCGTTTGTTCAATGGCGAGCATATAACACGCCAGCGCTTCAGGTAAGGTTGGACCCACCGCTTCTCGACTCTTTAATGAGGCTAACAACTTCTCTCTTTGCTCTTTGCTATGCTCTATGCTCTATGCTCTGTGTGTGTGTATGTCCGTGCTCGTATATTTGCCCGCCCTTGTCTTGTACTTAACCAATGGGGGGAAAATGCGGAAAAACTGGTATAACGCTGCGATTCCAACTTGGATTTCCCTTGGCCAGGGAGCTGCAGGGCCTCGGCCAGAGCCTGACCATGCAAAAGTAAGTTGTCACATTGGACTTTGGCTATGTATGTGCTTTCTTGTGCTTTGTGCTGTGCTGTGCTGTGCATGCTCCCTTAACTCCTCCTTAACTCCAACTCAACTCCTTGGTTCATTGCATGCATACACATTGGGAGACGATGGTCTCCCGGGAGCGGTGCATTCCCCAGTGTTTGCTCCCAGTGGCAGTTGCAATTCCAATTTAACGCTGGCACTCGCCATTCCATCTCCATTCTCTGTTCTCCATTCCTTCGGCAGGGTCAACTTCATGAAGTACCAGAAGCCGGAGCGCAAAATCGATCTGAATCGCAGCGAGGTGTACAAGTATCTCAATCCGCATCTGGACAGGGCGCCCGTGCGTGGCATCGAGGTGCGTGCCCCACTGGTGGCCGCCGAGTCTGATATTCGCCAGTCATTGCAATCGTAGGAATGGACCGGAATGAGTACCAAGTACCAGCACCAAACAAACGCCAGAACCAGCACCAGAACCTCCCTCCGAATGCCACAACACAAGCCAATCTTATTGGTACACACAGAGAAACAAAAGGTGTTCTTTGGCCAGTAATCAATAGCTGAAGAATGTTGCCAAATTAAGCAGAGATTCATTGTAGTTGAATATGAATAAAACTCCTGTTGTTTTCTATATAATAAAAGTTATCTAAATGAATTATTATCCCTATTATAAAGTAGTTGAATTTCCCTCTAACTTTCCTGCTTAAAATGTTGTTTCAAATTTATAAATGTATATTTACTATAAAAGTATTTTACTTAATTTTCGTTATGTGCATTGTTTGAAAAGGGTCTTAAGCAAATAAATGGTGATTGTATATTAGGAGAGTTACACTTGCTCACAGCAGCGTTACCATATTTATTTAAATTATCAAAGCACCTCAGAGAGACCATTTCTTCTATGTATATTTTTTGCCAACTCAAACCCAATGAATCTCTGCTGAGATAATATAATGGAACGTATGACTTTTCTGTCAAATATATATATATCCAGTCTTATGTTAAGAAAGCTTCAGCTTGTTGTGTCCTTTGATTAGGTTCAGTTTGAAGCCGGAATATTCACAAATTCACAAGTTGTTTGTTATCCATCAATGCACCCATACTCATTCTCAGACCGATTATCGCTTCGAGGATTTAGAGAGAGAGTGGATGCAGCTTAACAAATAAAACCAGAAGCTATTCTCAAGCTAGAGAGGAGGGGAGGGGTCGCTCCGTTGCCGTCTAATGCGATATTACATAATTTGTGTGCAACAAGGCGTATGTGTAATGTGTCGTGCATTTCTGTAGCATATCCTCAGGCGCCCTCGTCTGGCTGTTGCAATTTTCTTTCCACGCTCCATGCTCCATGAGTGTGTGTGCCGCCTGCGTGTTTGCTTATACTTGTGTGTCTGCTTTTGTGGGTGACAAGCTCTTCGAATTTGCATTTATTAAGGCAAATGAATTGGTTCAGGAGCCGAGGGAATGGGAGTGGGACAAACCAACAACAACAAAACAAAACCAAAAAAAAAAAATTGCAAATGACATGGCAAAATGGCAGGACCACAATAAACCCGTATTTAGTTATGGCACAAACATGGTAGCTGCGAAAATCAAAATTGTCGTCACGTTATGATGAAACCCGGAACGGGACGAGCGGAAGCGATGCGCACATTTCACTTGTCCTCACACACACACTCACTCTACACACACCCGGGAATGATGAGACGTATTTTTTTGTGCTGCCTGATTCGACGGGTAATAAAAACGCGCCAACTTAATCCAAAAAATATACGAACTTCGCGACGTAAGATCAGCCAGATTTTCCGGAAAATCCGAATGCGTGCGATGCTGGCAAGCTCTCGTCTTGGACTGTCACAAGCGAATTCGTGTTATCACTGCACTGGCGGCCACTGTGTTGAGTTCACACAAACTGCGCTTTGAGTGACTTTCCCTTTGAGTAGAATCCGAAGTCCTTGGATGTTTTGGGACAGCTTTTCCGTAGTACACAGCTTTCGAGTGTTTTTCCATGCCAAGCTTTGAGCGGGAATAAGAGTCCTTTGCATGTGGTTGCCTCGAGCGGAGAAATCGTTAAGGATTGGGGTAGGAACGAGTGCGGAAGGCAGGTCAGGACCGCTGGTCGGGCAAAGGTGCAAATGGCGGAATGTTGGAAATAAAATTAAGATTTGCTCAACTTGTTGGCCAAAAGTTTGACTCGGCTAATTTGTATGCTTAATTGCCAAGCGGCACCATTTACACTAAGCTGCAAGCAACGCTTTGAAGTCGCTAATTCGATTGGAATGGTTTTAAAGGGCTTAAGCTACGGGTTTTACGGTCTACTCCGGAATAATCAATTTTAATTGGAAAACATTATAGATGCGGTAAGTTGGCGATGTGATGCTATTCGACCTCATAAAGCTAAACTAAAAAACTATAATCGGAAGTAATGAAAGCAAAATGTATCTGCTGCTTTCTGTGCGCCTGGTGCATGAAATCCAGATATGTCTGAAATTGTCAATATTAAAACTATTTGCCAATATTTGATACAACAATAATTATTACAACAACAACAAGTATACAACAACAAAATCGTTGAAGAATATTTTTGCTTTTAAGGCTTCTTCAGCTCTGAGTATCTACGTTCAGAATACAAATTATAACTTCAAAGCTATCTTTTATTTTTATAGAATTTCGTTTTTAGTTTTATTAAAATCGGAATACTAAGTTTACTAAGTATACTAAGTATCAATAAACATTAAGTAACTATGATCAGTAAATAACTACATATGATCAGTAATAAACTATGAGCAGTAAGTTACTCTGAACAGTAAGTATCAATGAACATGAAGTAAATTATGATCAGTAAGTATCTATGACAAGTAAGTAACTATGACCAGTAAGTATGTATGAATGATCAGTAACTAACTTTGGAAACTAATAAACAATGACTTGCAAATTTTGTAACACAACACATTTCTGAGACTTGGCCGGCAGCAGTCACTTCGTTCCGGGGATGTTAGAACAAGTTGGGAATCATATGCACAGATGCGTGAGATTTGTTTTGGAACAAATTTAAGAGAAAGCTTTGAATAAAACTATGGAGTTATTATTTTATATCATTTTACTATAAGTCGGAGCATGACGAATCGGTGGACTATATATATATAATAATTATATATATATATAGTCGGATATATATATATATATTTAGTTACCATAGGAACGATCGGGGTATTTATAGAACTATGATCAGTAATGAACTATCACCATTAATTAACTATGATCACTAATTAACTATGACCAGTAAGTAACTCTGAACAGTAAGTATCTCTGACAAGTAAGTAACTATGATCCGTAAGTATCTATGACCAGAAAGTATGTATGATCAGTTACTAACTTTGAACACTAATAAACTATGACTTGCAACTTTTGTAACACAACACATTTCTGAGACTTGGCCGGCAGACGTCACTTCGTTCAGGGGATGTTAGAACCAGTTGGGAATCATATGCACAGATGTGCGAGATTTGGTTTGGAACAAATTTAAGAGCAAGCTATTTGAATAAAACTATGGAGTTATTCTTCTATATAATTTAACTAGTACATGTTTTAAGTCGGAGAATGGCGAATCGGTGGACTATATATGTAGATACATTTATATAGCTGCCATAGGAACGATCGGAGAATTTTAATAAGAAAAAAATTATAACTTTTCCAGCTTTCAACAGTTTTTCATCATTTTTAATATATGTATATCCATTATTTATTAATCTAGAGTTCTGTAAAATTTTATCAAAAGCGGACTACTATATCATGTAGCTGCAAACCCAATTATGATCATAAACAATATACATATAGAGCTAAGTATATCCAAAATGATTCTTCGTAAAATTAAATAGCTTTAGCTCTTTTTTTAAACTTTTAGAATAAATAAAAAGAATAAAATGTACAACAGATGGGGGAAAATGGAATATCACTTGCTACTTGAGATACAAATTTAGCTAGCTGGCACAATTAATTCTTTATTTATCCCCAATTTATAATAAAACTAAGGAACATCTAAATTTTTTGTAATTTTATTTGAATTTGAATAAACAATACTAGACAACAACTACTTAGAAGTAAGTACAATTTCATACATACAAGTTACATAAAAATAGTTTAGGTTAGGCTCTCAGCTGCGCTCCGCCGATCCGAACGAATATAATCCTTGAAACGTACTATAAGTGTATGTAATTATGTATGTAGTACATGCAGTGTATAATATAGAGTCATGTATAAGTACAATGTGTGTGTTTGTTTTTTTGTGTGGATTCATTTGTGGTTTTGTTTGTTTTCAAATACAAAGAAGGCAAAATTACAGCGGCTACTCGGCCCTGGGGAGCGATCCCTTTAGAAGGGAGACCTCCGAGGGCGAAGGGCTTACAACGATTTGTTATAAACAATTGTTCGTTCGTTGGATTTCTCTCCAATCAGATTTAAAGGGAGGAGTTTTAAGTTTTAAGTTTGTTGTTCTTTGTTTTGTGTGTTTGACACTAATTATCACTACGCCAGTTTTGAAGCTAAATAGTTTCGTAAGGTCCTCCTAGTTCTCCATGTTTTTTCTGTGGATTGCTTCGATTTGATAGGGACTAATCCGAGTTTATAGTAATTAGTTTGTGTTTATGCAAATGCAATTATTGCTAATAATACATGCGAAAGAGTCCAACTAAATTAATAACTTGTATCTCTTCTTGTTGGATTTCTTAGTTTTTTTGTGTGTTTATGTGTGGGCTTGTGATACTGGCTCATCCTCTTAAACATCCTGATTAGTCCAGAGGTAACGCCTTCAACTCACGGGGCAAAGTTGCCCTCAAAAATATGCTTTACTTTGCTTTGCTTTGTTCACTGCTCTTCTCTCCCACTGATTCACGTTAATAATCTTAATAATGTATGTCTCTTGATTTCAGTTACAATTTAGGTACACGATTCCCCAGCGAACACGCTTCATCTTCCGTCCTAGAATCACAAAAGTGCGGACGTACCCGCATATAGCATACATATATATCATGATATACAAATATGGTAACGGTTGGTGGTGGTATTGGTTTCAGGTGTGTGGCGCCTTGTCTCTAAATACTAATTGCAGGTAGTTCGTTAACGCGTTTACACCAGAATTTCGCAACAAATGTATCGCATTTGTATTTTGCATTTATATTTAGCATTAGTTTTGTGTTCTTGTTTCTGCTTTTTTGTTTTTCTATGGCCAGCGTAAAACGTGGCTTGGCATTAATACTTTCAATCTAAAACTAATTAAGTGTCGCCGGATTCCATCCGCCGGGCTGTGGATCCAGTGGGTCAGTGCCTCCTAGGCGGGTAGATTGGTTTGTTCATAGAAGTCGGGCTCATCCTCTGTCTTCTTTGCCTCGCTGCCATCCAACTGGAATATAATTTCATATATTATTAACTTTATATATAATTATACGCTGAGTTATCCCACCGCTTGCAACTCCTCTGGTTTGTAGAGCGCACTTAGCTGCATGCGTATGGGCACCATCATGATCAGGAAGAAGGGGAAGGCCAGCGAGAATCTGGATGATTTCACGGTCCAGAGGAGCACCAGGCAAAGCACCTGAATGGTGGTGAACAGATGCAACTTCCAGGGACGCACCCGCTTCACGTATGGCGTCGGTGGATAGTGCTTCACCGGCATGAAGTACAAACGGACTCTGTAAAATGCAAGAATTTAGTAAACTCATTTATCATACTTGGAATTCCCCTAAACTCACCGCTCAAAGAACTGCACTCCACTCATGGAGGCCACACCCATATAAAGGAAGACTCCAAAGAGCACGGCCATGGGTATAAGTCGCAGGAGTGGAGCCATCAGCACCGACAGGCCAATCATTAGGCACACAAAGAAGCCGGACAAACGCTGCTCCTTCACATCAACGATCCTGGGCGACTCGCCAGGAGCATGTGTGCTGTTGGATTATAAAATAAATATAATTAATAAGCTTACTGATATATATTTCATAACATTCAAGGTGAACTCACCGTGACATGATGGTCACCGAGGAGACATGCGTCACCGATCTCACAGTGGCGGCACAATGCCAGGGCATTCCAAACAGACCGCAGGCGGCATTGAGCAGGCACAACAGCACAATGTCCCAGTGCAGACCGGAACCCTTCTTCAGTCCTCGATCCGGCTTGTCCACAATCAGTTCCGAGATCTGAGACTCCATAAAGATGAGGATATACACGAGCAGGGCGGGCACTACGCAGGCAAATGGAATCCACGTTGAGGTGGCATTAAAGCCAATGTACCAGCCACGCTTGGAAGGATCACTGGGCGATAGGCCCTCCGGCACCACCAGCTTCTCCGTGTACACAGCGGGCACCAGGTAATCGACCAGCACAAAGATGGCAATGGAGATGGGCACACCGAAGTCTCCAAGGGCACGGCGTGCATTGCGTCCCAGAAAGTGGGAATTACGGAAGAGCTTCAGGTAGTACGCCACCACAAAAGTGGCCAACGTGAGGATGGTGCAGAAGAGGGCGGTGTTCGGTTGATTCTTGGGCAGCGGTGGCGGTCCCATTGGCATTGCCGTTGTGGAGATATTCAGAGCTCCCTCGGTGATGTTGGCCATCACAGGAGACTGGGTCACATTGAAAAGACTTCCATTGGCGGCATGATCATGAGCAACCAGCGTTGGCGGGGGCAGGTTGTAGTCAGATAGCAGGGGATTCTCATCATAGATCGAGACCAGCTTCATCATTGTTTCCACAATATAAATCAGCGTAATCAAGGCCGAGAAGATCTCCTGGGTGAATCTCGTGAGCAGGCGCACATAGACGCTTCCCTCGAAGGCGGAGACACACAGGGCAATGACTATCAGCCAGATTCCCACATAAACTCTCAGCGACAAAAAGTCAAAGTTGTTCTTTGTACAGAAAACCATGAGAGCCTCGTCGAACAGCAGGAGAGGACCAGTAGTTCCAATGATCACCAGGGGCTGGCAGGAGAGACAGTGGAATATGATGCCCACCAGGGAGCAAGAGATCAGCGTCTCCGAAATACCAATCCAGGCATGGGTCTTGGCGGAAACGAGACCTCCGAAGGTGATGGCGGTCGAGAGGCAGGCAAAGTACATGAAAATTGTGGCCGCCAGGGTTTCCGTGTTCAGGCCATCCAGGATATCACTCTTGTACATGGGCATGCGGCGCTTCAGGTCATTCCTTAGGCCACCCCACAGACGGTGGGTCTTCTCCAGCGGACTGGGTCGCTTCTTCCGCTTACCATCATCATCATCAGAGCCACCATCACCCCCACCGCCACCATCTCCTCCTAGTCCGCCTGTAATGGCGCCCAGGGATTGCTTCTCCAGCAGCGCCTTCTCCTCATCCTTGCCAATCTTGATCATCTCACTGTCCCGCTTCACCTGCAGGGCCTTGATCTTGCGGGTACGGATCCAATCCTTCTTGGCCTTCAGCTCCTCAAAGGGCAGCAAATCATGACGATCCCAGTTGCCGGGTGGCAGCACAATGGAGTCGTCCAGGAACTCATTGATGGCCGACAGCAGATCCTTGCGATCATCGGCCTTGTAGGCAATGGCGTGGAAGTGTTCGTTGGCCATCAGCGTGGAGATGGAACGACCCACCTCATGGTAGTCCAGATCAAAGTTACGGGGTCCCAGCAGCACGAACATGAAACGCACCGGAACCGGAACCTCTGTCAGGGTGGGCATTAGGACACCCTCTGACAAGCGGACAAAGGCAATCGTTGGCTGCTCCAGGAACTCCACAGCACCAACCTGAAGGAAAGAAGAAAGAAATTTTATATAAATTGGGATAGAAGATTAAATTATTAATAGTGAAACCTACCAAGACAGTGGTGGCCTCAGCTCCCGCTGGAATCCTCTTGAGGATAGTGTCATTTTGCAGCTTCTTGAGATCCTCCTGCGACGAGGAGTACAGATCATCCTTCATATCGATCTTCAGCTCATTGCTGCGCTTGCTGCCTCCAATCTCGCTGGCCGGCATAATCTTGATCTTCTTGTCATCGGTGCCACCGGACAGGTTCTGTGAATCATACAAATACAATGTCAGTAAGGGGGCTCTTAAGGATTTATCTAATTTCCAGGGGGAACGTCAAGCTAGCTCTACATGCAAAAGCTGGTGCCAAACACAGAACACAGAATATCTATATATATCTTAGATCATGCATTTAAACAAGTGCGTTTCTAGAACAGCATTAGGGTTAAGTTTTAGGGGATATAGAGAGTAGAGAGTACTTGAACTACACAATCACAATCACAATTGAGAACTTGCCAATCGTGGAGGTGGAGGTGGAGAGAGCACACATAAAAACAGTGGTTCTAAAGGGGGAAGAGGGTCTACGGAACGTGGCTAACATGGTGGGGCTAAAAAGAAACATCGCGATTTCTATATAAGCGCATTTTGGCGGCTGTTGAATCCTTCTGACTCGGTTTTTTGTAGGGGTTTCAGGGAGTGAAATCAGGGATGTATAAGCTTCAATTTAAGTGAAATGAAAAAAATAATATACTTAGAAAGAAATTTCTTAACAACTTCATAATATTTGATAAGTTTTCGAGTTTGTTGTATATAGAGAGTTGTAAATACAATAAGGTTCAATGTCTCATTTGTTAAATCCTTGAAACATGTTCGCAGGAATCTTTTTTAAGCTGCAATGTACCAGCATCTTGTATCTTCAATAGTTTACATTATTTAAAACCCAATTGTTTAAACTAAACATTAATATATAGCTACTCTTGGGATTTATTCCCTTTTCTTCGCAGCCACATCTGTATATCTTTCATTCCCTGATCCCCACCGAGCTTCGAAGGAGTTCTAAGAGGAGAAGGAGATCTTTGTTTTTGGGAGGATTCTTTGGCAAGCTCATTACACCCAAGTAGGACATCGTGGAGTGGCGCCTGTGATCGATGGCCGCTGCGGCAGCTGTGGTGGCAGTGGCCACATTCAGCATGGCAGCCGTTGGCGGGGCACTGGAAGTGACGCAGATGCTCCGCCTGGCCTTGGCCAGGTTACGGGGTGCCTGCTGCTGGAACTGCTGGTGTTGCGAGGAACCATCCGCACCCATCCATAGAAACTTTAGTTCAGAGTTTTTTGTGCATTAAGTATTTGTGTGTTTGTTTTTTGGCGAAATAAATCAAAAGAAATTCAAGAGATACACAATCGATTGGACAAAGCGACGCTTTATAAGTTAACTGAACGATCATGGGCTATATACAATTTGGCTGTTCTTTACCGATTTTGGAATAAGTTGCTGTTGTTGTTGAAGTTGTTATTGTTGATACGATATTTGGATGTTGTAGTTATTGTTGTTGATGTTGGTGTGCGATTGTTTTGAGTTCATATGAAAAGTTATATATGGCAGAAATAGACAAGAGAATAATGACCACGATCATGGGGATTAACAAACTTTTTGTCACACTTTTCACTGAAAGCCAATTATTTATAGCGAACAGGCACGATTAATGTAAATAATTAATTATGTTTAATGAATGAATATTAGTATGAAGAGAATGCACAAAAGTGTCAGCGAATGGTATTGATGAGAGCTGAAGAAATGGACTTAAGGATGCATCAGGATCTCACCTGAAGGCTGGTGTAGCTGTTGTACTTCCTCTTGGTGAAGGGCAACACACCTTGGTGCTCATTCACATGACGATGGCGGAGTAGCAGCGAACGCATCACCGAAGGCTTGTCATTGATGTCAATCAGGTCCTCGATCACCATCTGAAAGGGGTTAAAACAAAGGATTTATATTAGTTTTTCTATGGTGTATATGTATTTTGGTAAATTAAGAAGCACTTGAAGCTCCTTAAATGTATCAGTTATATATTCTAAGAAGTCCTAACCTGTTCCACAACACGATAGGCCACGGCGGGCAGATCCTTCTCGTTGAGATCGAGCAGGACCACGCCCGTCTCCAGGCAGCGACGCAAGTTGAGCAGCGAATGGAAGGACAAGGAGGCCACATGGGGCTTGCCCCAGCGATCGGAGCCTTCCTCCACATCCTCCTCATACTTGATCCAACGCGCTGTTTCCTTCCACTCCCGATCCTCGCCCACGCCAGTGAGCTCGTCCAGTTGCACAAAGATCTATCAACAAGAAATCATATTAAACTTAACTATAATTAACCTTTAAATCATTAACAAACCTCATGGGGACTATGGTCCACCTCGGGCTTCTTGTTGGTAAACGGCGAAATTGTTATTTGGGGCAGCTCCCTTAGCTTGATCGATGAGTGATGAATCTTGTGTCGACGCAGGGCCCTTGGGTCATCCGAACGATGTGATCTCAGCTCATTGAGATCAGCCTCCTATAAAGGGTTGGGTGGAAAAAACAAAGAATTAATAACAAAACTCCATGGAAATATGGAAATTATTAATGTTGGGCTAAGGGCACGGCCTAGGATAAGATGGTCAACCTGTTTAGCCGGCATTTGGCCATTTGTCTACAGGTGAGAGAGAGTCCATGTGTTGGCGGTATTTTAGTAATAATAATAATGAGAGTTGGAGAGATACAAGAGCAGGATTTTATTAGAGATGAACTACGTTAAGATGGGTTAATGGATTCAAGGATTTCTTTGGGTTTCAGGGGAGCATAAGGATATTCAATATATTCAAGTGTGTGCTAAGGGTCCCTACCTCCAATGCCGTGTCCTCAGGCTGCACAGAGATGCGACGCGCACCTGCATCACCGTTTTCCTCGAGGGTCTTTTTGGGTTCCACGCTGTCCTGATGTGAGAATTTACGCTGTCTATAATACTGGTGGCGGCTGTAAAGATTATAATTTAAGAATACGTTAGTAAAATTTGTTTTTAAAATAAATTTCCCTAAGTTTGTTTCAGACAACATTGCGTATACGCAATATTTCTGACAGTCAACATATATTACGTATACGCAGCGTTGCCAAAAGAATTGCATAATTTATTGGCAAACTGTGTACCTTTTCTCTCGTATTTGTTTATGCAAAAATTAAATAATGAATAAAGAAGAAAATATATATTTGGTTTGGGTTGTATGTTACCTTCTTCGGCGTTTGCGTTCGTGCGATTGATCCGTTGGCTGGTCATCATAACTCAAACTGGGCGGGGTGACAACAATCTTCTTCTTGCCCCCAAACTGGACGTGCTTCTCGTCCAACGAATTATCCGAATGATCACCGTGTCCGGCTCTCTCGGAGACTAGGGGAAAGTCCTCGGGGATATCATCATAGTTCTGGGCATTGTTCAAAGGCTCCGTTTGGCTCTCGTACTCCGAGTCCTCCTCGATGTTCAGATCGTTTGTGCGGACTTATAGATAAACAGGATATTAAATATAGAAATATAGATATTAATTATCAAATGAACCTACTGCTATTCTTCTTTCTAGATCCTATGGGCTGCTGGCTATTGTCCTGGAAGGTGGTTACATCAAATTTGTCCTTGCGTGCACTATTGCCGGCAAAGACCTTTTCCATTTCCGAGTCCAGCAGCACTTCGTCGGGATCCTCATTGCCGGACTAAAGGAAAGAATAAATAAGAAAAATACAAAAGATTGAGAAATATTTGTACAAATTGTCGTTACTCAATTGTTCTCATGCGTTTTCGGTCACGTTGTGCATGAGTCAAGTTGGCGCAAATACTTTTCAATTAAGAATCTATAGGAAAAACAAATTCAGACAAGTCACATGACTCGCAGCATTATTGTTCGTCGTCACGAGTCGCAGTCTTTCTGAGTAAAATACAAAACAAACAAACAAAAAAAAGAAAAAAGAGGGAAAACTGTGAACATTAATCATCTACCAGCGGGTGCGAACGTCACGCATTAAGAAACCTCAAGAAGATACAGAAAATAAAAGAACTTGATCAGCCTTCGGTGGATGAGACTCGAACTGGATTCTCTGGGCGTTGTTCGTAATTGGTTTTAATCGATCTCAATTGATTTTTATAGTGACGAAGGCATTGATTGCGCACTTCTCTCAATCATCATCATCATAATTTGTGGTATCTTCTGGCAAAACTATTTCTTTCTGGCTGAACCAGAAGCAAAGTAAACTCAATTATTTTCAATTGTCGAGTGGCTATCAGATTACAAATACATGAATTTGTTTATTGAAAATCGCAGAGAAGGTTACAGGGAATTCAATTTCCTCACTTACGGCAGGCTGAGATTTTTCAAAGAAAATTTAAGTTTATTTGCAGAGAGACTTAAAGGATTTATAGAATTTTTGAAAGCTTTGATTACATTTTACATCATGCACAACGTCCTTGACATTCCAACACCTTTAAGACAGTTTCTGCTATAATTTTTCCAACAATCAACATGTTTTGTAATAAAGATAATCTTATTTCCCTCTCTTCATACTCAAATCATAAATATTATAATGGCGGAGGAATTCACCTGCCTGAAAAATTCTAATCCTGCTGGTGTTTTCGTTCACACCCTTCATAATGAACACCTCAAAGTCAGTCAACATATTTTCCCAGGTATTTTTATGTTCAGCTTTAACGACACGTCTTCGGGTGCTCGGATAAGTGTGTGTGTGTGTGTAAGTGCGTACGTGTGTTTTCCCCAGTTGTTTGCTACGTCAACATGGAAATTATCGTATGCTTAGACATACATAAATGCAAATGGAATTAACTAAATGCGATTTCCCTCTGCTTTGGCTCCCGAAGGACAACAACAAACTTTCCGGTCAGGTCTGCAGCTGTTAAATATTTAATGCCACCTTTAATACAGGAGAGAGAGTATCCTTGACAATTACATTCACTTCCTGATAAGCCCGAAGGCTGATAAGGGAGGGAAAACAAAAGGCAAAACATACAGAGCGTTTCAGTTTGAGTTTATAAATAGAAAAATTTAATAACGCTGAGAGCCTGCACGTGGGAACGTCAATGTGTCCAGCAGGAAACAAGAAAGAGCGTTTGCTATCAAATGAACCGACCATGAGATACCCGGTAAACTGCTAGGGAATATGTTGCATACTTCAAGGACATCGTTAAAGGACTTTTCATTGTCAGAACTTGTTTAAAAAGTATAAATTTGGGTTTGTTAGTTGCTTGTTATTAATTTTTTTTGCTTTATTTTGGACCTATTTACTTTAGAAGTATGTAAACTCACACAGATCTTAAAATTCTTAATAATTTACTACATTTTAATTGTTGTATCTCTACATTGTCCCTACTATAGTATACCCTTTAATTTCTCCACAAATACCCCGCACATAAACCAAAATGAAAGGAAGACCAATGACCAGGTGTCTCTGTGTTTGAGACCCTTGTGTATCTTTGCATTGGTGTTGGTGAGTGGGCGGTGGCTACGGGGTGGCTTTTGCATGTGATAAGCCAAAGCGTAACGCGCCACGTTACGTTAATTAATCGATAAACACTAAGTTCTATGCGTTGTATCATAATGATGTTTGCTATTAATGATCGATCATTATGAAGTTAATGGCATTGCTGATTTACAGATATGACAACAGCAATGGCAGTAAAAGTATTTTGTCATAGGGCCATTAGCTTGATTCCCATCATTCCCATAATGTGGAATAATACCTGAAAAACCACCTATAATAAAAAACAATACAAACAAGTAAATACCACCCACTCTTTAGGTAAATGTTCTAAAAGAGCGTCGCACTTTATGCAGCATGTCAGTGGCGCTTATCAAAATAATCGATGCTATGTTCAGTCCTCTTAACGCCCCTTTAGCCACGCCCACTCTTTCTACATTTTCCACCCCCTTCCGCATTTCCCTTCTCTTTGTCCCACCTTCTCAAAGCTGTCTGAACTGTCAATTTTCGTTTGCTGTTGTTGTTTGCTCAACGTTTCAAAAGCGAGCCAAATGAATATGCACGGGTCACAGCCCAAAATGCACACAGTGGTTAGCCAACAAAATAGAAGCCCAAATGATATCATTTTAGATGGGAAATTTTGGGTGGAAAATTATGATGGAAATAAGTAAAAAATAAAATGAAAAATATGTTGTTCCAAGGCCCAACAAAATAGAAGCCCAAATGATATCATTTTAGATGGGAAATTTAGGGTGGAAAATTATGATGGAAAATAAGTAAAAAATAAAATGAAAAAATATGTTGTTCCAAGGCCCATAATTGTCATGTATTTTATACTATTTTACTGTAAGTTATACGACGATTGTTAAATGTTTTATGCATTTATTCATTCATTCATATATTATCATTCTAGATAGAAGTTTCGTGGTAAAAAATTTTGATGAAAAATAGGTTTAATATTAAGGAAAAGTGCGTTGTTACAAGGCCTGTACTGCCATGCATTTCGTACTATTTTACTAACATGAAATTTGATAGAAATTAAATATTTAAAATTTATTTAGATACAGAAGAATATACATACATATACATATATATACCATACAACTTTACTTTAAGAAGCCTTTATATATTAATTAAATAATAAAAATATTTTATATATCTGATACCTGAACTCTTTCTAAATTAAGTAAATATTTTACCACAATTTAAAACCCCTAAGAGTATTCCACTTTCAGCTTTCAAAAATATTATACATTCACGAAAAAGCATCTACTATTTAAATTCCAAACCTAATTAGCACTTCACCCATTCAAAATGAAACCCAACTCAGTTTGCTTAACATATTCCTGACTCTAGAAAAATATTATTCCATTCCATTACATATTTTTCTTTACTATTTGCTAAAGTTCTCAAGGATTTCAGATTGCTGCACCTATTCGAGTGGCAATCGTTGTGGCGCCACAGTCTATGGCCACAAAGCTGGGCGTGCATGTAAGCAGCTCACAGTTTTCTTGGCCACCATTTGTCCCATCCTTGCTGCTCCTGCCAGCTTCTTCTCCATCTTCTTGGCTCCTACTACTACCCACCACCTCCAAGTTGAGGCAACAATAAGTCGCTACGAGTTCGCTGAAGAGTGTTTCTGATGTGATTTGACATCAAGAAATGCAAGTGAGCGGAGGCACGTGACTTATGTACGAGTCATAAGCGAGTTAGAGTCGGGTGTTCGTGGCCTAAACAACTTTTTGCCGAGGGGGTTTCCAACTTGCCAAATTGAATCAAATTGCGGCTAAAGCGAAACTTGTTAAGATTTTGCGCCAAGCGAGTTGCCAACTGCTGTTGTCAACGCAGTTACAGCCACAGCCACTGTCGGAGTGAATAACTTTCTTTTTGCACTGCGGATTAAAAGTTTGTCTTTGGGGATATATCGCGTAACTTTGTATTTATTGGAAAACTGTTTGAGTTGCCACATAAAAAAGGAGAGAAAGGAAAAGATTTTGATGGAACGAGTATGTGGAAATAAGTGAGGTAAACCCGAAAGATTGCCAAAGTTACGGAGGGTCTTAAAAAATATAAAAAACTCAAACAGGCTGCTGGGTACTTGAAAAGTTTTTAAACCCTGTCAAAATTAATATTTTTAGATGTTTTTCTAAGGATATAAAGAGGGATATGTTACTCTGCTTGATATAGATATTATTTAATGTTTGTTACAGATAACTCCAATTATGAACTCTATTATAGAGCTGCTCTTTCTAGGAGTGCCCAATATTTGTGTTCATAACAAAGTTTTCCATGTTTGAAATGGTATATTTTTTTGTGTATAAACTAAAGCACCGAAACCGTTTAGCTTTACATTTAACTTGTGACTTGTGAGTTGGATGTATTTATGCATGTATACATAAAACTTTTTTATTTGTTTGCCGTTGTCAAATTTTTCCATGGCCCGTGCATAATTTGGTTGATTTCGAGTTACCCCGCTTTTTTATATTTTACTTTATTTTTTGCTGTTGTTTGTTTGCACAAATTAACGATGCTTCTATAACGCTTTTGTCCGACTCTCAGCCGTTCGGCTGGCTTTTTGTGTGTTGGTGCGGCGGGTGTATCTGTGTTAATTTAATGTGAATTCCGCAGCGGAAATGCTCGCACAAGCAGACTGACAATCGGTATGGAGACGCGCGGGGAGGGAAGTGTCAGAGGAAAAGGGCAGCTAAGGAAAAGCGGAAAATGCGACGACAGGGGAGGGAGGGGCAAGAGAGAAGACAGGAGGTCAGTGAGACGTACACGTGCAAAAGGTTAAACTGGTCATTGTGCGGAGGCAAAGGCACAGGCGTTAAACTTGCGTCGTAAACGCAATCTAGTGATGGGAAATCATGCTGACAACGCTCCTCATCCGACATTTGCCTCTCTATATGTCTATATATCTATATATCTATGCCTCTATATATCCACACTTTGCGGCTCTAAGCTCTCACAATAGAAAAGTGTTGCATACTTCAAGGTCAGCGGTTTGGCGTTGTGTGCGATATCTTTGGGTGTGTTGTGTGGGTGTGAGGGTTTAGTGGGGTTTGTGGGTATGCAATAAATAGTTGAGGCCTGCTCTATTTATTATCCTGTGGCCCGGAACTGAATAGAAAATATTCCTGGGTATTTTATGAGAATTTCGCCATTAATAGCTTTTCCTTACAACCTGAACTTATAATGGCTTTCGCAGCTGTTGCTGGAAAATGTAATCCATTTATTAGGAATCTTCTCACTTAATATGATTACTGATTATAGAAAAAGTATAATTATTTTTAAATTGATAATAATAATCTGGGAAATGCAACCGGTTTTACAGGTTAATATATTAACTTCTGAAGGCATTTAATCGGAATTTCGTATTTAAAGTAAAATCTTTAAAAGTTTAAAGTTTTCTATTAAAAAAGATAGTAAAAATTAGCATATAAATCTTACAATATTAATTTTCTGAGACGACATTAATGAAAAGTTTTATAGCTAGAAAATGAAATGTATACAAATTTATTCTTTATTAGATTTTTGTAAGGACTAAAAACCTAAAGCAACCTCTAGCTTATATAAGCAAAAACTTGCATTGAACTTAAGACCCAACTAACTTTGGCGCCTTGAAAGAAAACTTACTCAAAGTGAAAACAAGTCTGTTTACAAGTGTGTGTTAGTGTGTGTGTCTTGACATCAATAATGCATGAACTGTTAAATAATTCAAAACGTTTTTATAATGCAGACAAATTGGAAACACACAACCGCACAAATTCCATTCATTCATTCAGTCAATTTATACATTCATCAATCCGACAAACCGAAATGAAGCTCGGTTATTATTAGAGGAGCTGCTACCTCACTTTCCTCGTAATTTTTAAGATGCCACACGAAAAGGCACACAACACCTTTTGGTAACATCTATATATATAAATATATACATATATATATTTTTAGATATATATGTATATCATTGTAACCGCAGACACACGTGTGAGTGACTCCTGTCGCTTTGGGGCAACATTACGGTAACATTTCGGCATTTCTCACTGCCTCAGGAGCCATTTTATTGCCCCAAAAAGTATGCAACAACCAAAACGAATTTCCTCTTGAAAATTTGGGTATATTTCGGGCTCACACACACAGCCACACAACAAACAAAAAGGCCAAGTCACTTGTTGTGCCCAGCTGCCAACAGCAAATATCTTCTAATTTTATGAAAGAAAATGAAAAATATAATAAATTGTAAGAGACTGTGTGTGTGTGTGTGAGTGAGAGGCCTTTTCGGGTAGCTTTTGAACCGAAAATTTTCAAGGTTGTGGGTGCTCTTGAAAAGTTTTTTTTTATTAAAATTAAGGATCAAACATAGATAGAATTATACTATGCTATGCAGAAGATTACCTGGGGCACTTGTGAAGTCTTAGAATGAATTTTCCGAATATCAAATCACTCTTGTTTCGTAATAGTTTTAGTTTTATATTGTTTCTTTGCTTTTTTGTCGAACTTTCTGCCTGTTGCACTTTGACCCACGTTTGGGACTTTACGTTTTTTGTTATTATCACACTCGCAGGGAGCACGCGTTCCTTGCTGCGGAAAGGCTGCCCAGCAAATGAGGGGCACCATGGCACTTGGCCAAGTTGCTGCTGCTGCTGCTGCTGCTGCTGTAGCTTCCACCTGGTATTGCCACTGCGCAGGCGTTTGGCCAAAAGCGCGCGTATAACGGTAGAACACACATTCGGTACACGGCATGTCCAACGGCCTCCCGCGCTCAGCTGGCAGCGCTGCAGCGTTTCGGCCACGCTCAGCTGATTCTCAGGGCCACTACTACTACTGCCACTAGGGCCAGGATGCCGCCAGGATATGCCACCCCCTGCTGCTGACGTAAATTGCAATGCAGTTCTGGCCAAGACAAGAGCTTTTGGCCGAATAGAAAGCTTTTGCTGCTGCTGCTCTCCTGCACTACTTTTATTTTTCGGTGGGGGGCTGTGCATAATTAATGGCAAAGCTTTATCCTCGCAGGACACCAACACGACGAATGATGGTCAAGGCCGCTCAAGGCCAACACTTAGTGTTTTGTATGGAAAACCAAGGCGGGAGAAGAGGGTTGTAAGTGAGGCCTTCGTGTGTGTGTGTGTGTGCGAAATAAAGCTTTATTTTTTTGTGCGCCTTGCACCAAAAATCTATTCACTTGATGGCACTTTGAACGGCTAAGCCAGTAACATTAAGGCTCATTAGCCAACCGACGATGTGTGTGCATGTGTGTGTGTGTATTTTGGGTAATTAGCGATAACAGTCGAGTTGTAACGGCTAATTGAGTTATGTGCCTGTATACAATGCGGCTCAAGATGATAGCACCCCTCAGGGGGTGCTGAATTATGCAGTGCCATTAACCATTAAAGTTTATGTAATTGATTGATTGTTGCTTTCGCTGTGTAATAAATATTTAACAACTGTCAAAGAGTGAATATGGTGGCAAGGGGAGTAAGGTCAAGATATTTAAGGTGATTATTATGATTCTATTTGAGTAATAAAACTACTTTATTGGGAATAATTATAGTTCTATCTGAATTTAAACTTTATTCCATATATGGAGATTTTTTAAATATATATATGCTATTTATTTACTATATTATATCAACACAATATTGTATATAGTATTGTTTAAAGTATACTTTGTGTGACTAGGCATTTACTAAGCTTTTAGAAAACAGCAACTTGTATGCTAATTTTATTGCTTTATGCAGAGTGTAAAGAGTTAAATATTTGCTAAATAAATGCATACACTTAATTTTTTTCTCTTTAAGTATTTTTCAGTTTTAGAATATTATTTAGTGATTATAGTTACCCAATAATACTCTAACTTACTTTCTTTGCACTTATTTTTAATATTTAAGCGTGTGCTTGAAATGCAATTTCATTAATAAATAATTTCGAATGTTCTCACTTCTTTCTTTATATTATACAAAATTATTAAAACAACATATCTAAATTCATTCTACCTTGTAATAACTCCTTTGGCCTTAAACTAAGTTTAGTTACAGCATAAATCATGGCATACTTTGTGGTGCAATTAAGTTAATTGAGGCTCCCACACACACGCGTGGCTACTGGATGCTTTCACCTGGCCCAGGTGTCAATGAATTGACTTCGATTACAATTTCCCATTACAATTACAATTGCCGCTGCTACTATTACTTTTCATTGTCAATGTCAGCCGCCGCACAGTTTGCAGCCTTGACCACGACTATTGATTTCCTGTTCCCTCAGAGTGTGTGTGCGAAGAGTGTGTGTACGTATAAGATAGCTTCATTTGAATGCTCTATACGTGTATTCAGAATGTCTAACTAGCTTCCTGTTACCGTTATTGCTGTATTTTTGTGTCAGTTGCACAATTAAAATGCGTTAGCATTTAGCCTTTAAGCTGACAATATGCTGTCGCCCTCCATCGACAGCGCCACACACACTGCGTATACGTAATGTGTGCAAACAACTGACAAAATACGACAAAAACGAACAAAGGCGGCACTTTCGCATGAATGAATGCATGCATGATTAGGCGATCTAATCTAAGTACTCGCACGCGAATTCGAAATTGAAATCGAAGCTGAAGCTGGAGCAACTGAGACTGAAATCGAAATTGAAACTGAAACTGAAACTGAAACCGAAATCGATTTACTGGAAACTGGTTTCTAAATTGTGTCACTCGGTAGCTGGCGGGCATTTTGCCGGTGCCCCAAAATACAACATCAACAACAAAAACATGAAAATAAAATAAAAGCACACGGAAATGTGTAGAAAAGTAAACAACAGACAGAAATCAATAACAATTACTTGACATTACTTGCGGCTTGCGAATGAATTATTCAGAAATTGGCAAAAATTAAGCAAAACAAAAATAAATACTTTTAAAATGTGATTTATTTGATGGAAAACTACCAGCGATAACGGCACAAAAAAATATATTAATTTCGGTATATTTATTGTTATTATTATTTGAGTTTTGCTTTACACTAATGTCGCTGGAGAACCTTGAGTGAGTAAAAGTTGTATCGGTATCATCAGTTGGCCGGCATGAGCTCATTCCCCTCCACTTGCCTAATTAATTTTCCCAACCAAAACTCAATACATTAGCTGAGTTTATTTATAGTTAATCTATCTGTAATATATATGGAAAGTGATGAGTTCATTTAATCATAGTTTTAGGGAGTTAATACGAGAAAAACTATACTCCAAGTATTTGGATCTTTGTTTTGTAATTTTCTATTCTTTGCTTAAAATTCTAGAACTACAGATTAGATTTCTACTTTTGAAAAAATAACTCTATAGTATATTAAATTTAATATTCTTAACTCACCTTCTTTTTGGTATTAAATCCCAAAAATGATAATTTGCGGACATTATTCTCCCTGCCGCTGGCCGAACTGAAGCTCATTTTGAATGTTGGCTTCGCTCTCCTTTACTTTAGTTTAGTTTTAATCCAATCCAAAGATTTTGTAGGGTATTTTTATTGCCTATTTGATGATCAGACAATGCAAGGGCATTGAGGTGCTCGGCGTGTTTTTGGTGATTTGCTGCGGCCACTGTGGATGCTCCAAGAATCTCGGCATTCGGGGCAGCGAATTCAACGCCCTGCAATTTAAGAAACAGAAAAATTGAATATATAGATATATAGAAAATTAAGAAAAAGAAAAACAAGCGGGTGCTTGGAACGCAATTTCATTAATAAATAATTTCGACAGCTTTTTTTTTTTATTGTTTTCATTTTGTTTTTGTTTTTTGTCTCTCTGCTTAAGGAGGCCAATTGAAAGCGATGCCGCACAATAATATATAGAAGTGTAAGTACCAAAAGCAATAAAAACCATTCGACGCGACTCAATTAAAGTCAAATGGCAGCCACACGCATAGCAGGGAAGGCGTTGAATGGGGGTCTAGAGGGGGCTAAATAGGGGCATAGAGGGGGTTTTATAGGGGCTAAGAAGGGGGACCGATGAAGCACGCGACTTTCGTTGACGGCTCGTGATCAATTTGCGTTATTTGAACACTCAATTAATATTCGGAGGAAAGGCGTCGAATGTCTTCAAGAATGTTAATAATATAAAGGCGAGTGCGGCGGTACTCTTTGGCTCTGAGATCGCTCACTTAACGATCAGCATCTTTATTTCATTTAAAATACTATAATTGATACACTGACAAAATAAATCTATAAATATTTTCTGATTTTGATTGTATAGCTAATAGATGTTTTCGGATTCTAGAGAACAAATATTAACCATTTTAAGCTGTAATTGTTAGGTTTTCCGTAAAGTGAATTTATTGTAAACTAATATTTTCATCTAAAAATTGAAAAATTAGTGAACTATTCTATAATATCTTAATTTTTCAAAGGAAAATACTTAATATTTAAAAGATTTCTAGTAATTTAATCAAGACTTTTCATAACCTAAGGAATGGTTTTAATATATCCCAATGATCTTTAATAATTTATTAACAATATCAACAAATATTAAAATATTTGTATTATTTATTCCTGTGCACATTCGCAGTTCTCTTCAATCGCTTTTTAATTCCTTCGTAACGCGACAGCTGACAGGAATTGAAACTGAAATTTATGTTAATTATAGACTCTCGCTAACCCTATATTTGTGGTTATATGTAACTGCCCCTTCGATTTGGGGCGTGGCAAAGCGTTGAACCTAAACGGCAATCAAGCGGGAATCGAGCACACAAACAAGGACAATGGCCGGGAGTTCACTGTTAAATGGTTCGTGTCCGCAGGTCCTTAATAATTCAGTAAGCACCTTTTTTTGGAGGGTAGAAACACCAGGCCAAGACAGACCAAACCAGACTGGGTGGCAGGACAAAGGCAAACGGCGAACGGCAACAAAACTTGCACAAATTCAATTAGGCATTGACACTGGCCAAGGCCGCTGACCGTTTACACGTCGGCGATATCGCGAATCGAAAGGTACTCGCAGACCGGATACGGATATGGGCGACCACGGCGGATACGCGATATACAGGACACCGACGAGGCTTGCTCCGTGGCGAACGAATGCCGTGTGAACCTGTTGCGGCTGCGAATGCGCTGATTTATGCGAGCTTCTAGCTTCTTTCTTCGAAAGTGAGTAGAGTGAGCCGGCGCACCCGAAGTACTCACGAGTCCACCGAGCAGCGCCTCGTCTCGCATCGTATCGTATCGTATCGTATCGTATATCGCGTAGACAATCCAACATGAGTCTCGTGCTTAGACACAGCGACTTAACTTAGCCACTTTTACTAACTTTCAGATACCCTATACTAAGGGGTTTTTATGGGGATTTTCTATCTTATAAAGAACATTCAATTAATCCATGATAATTTCAGATATATAAGATTTATACATCATATTTCATTGATACTGACTTTGGAAAATGTGGATCGAATACTAATCCCTTTTATTAGTTTTAATATAAAATAAGCATTTTATCTTTATATCAATTATTGTACAAAAATTATATTATATCCCAAGATACTTTTTGTATGTAAAAATCTATATATTTCATAAAAATTAAAAATGTTTTGAAGTCGATCAAATCATTGAAAGTGTATAAAAACCTCTTCTTGAGTAAAAACCAGAATTTCCTTTCGCTTCGTTTTATTTTCTCTATAGCCACAAATTTTCACTTGGCCGCGTTGATTATGTAAGAAAATGTGACTTGACTTTGGCTACGAATTTCCAGGCGGGGGCAGAGGAAGGAAGGTGGCTTCGAGGGTCTCCAGTTTGCCATGTGCCTTGGATATTCCGTCTTGTTTGCCATATGTTCTTCGATAAAAAACTGATGTGTCTCCTCCGTCTGACCGTGGATTAAAGTTAAGTTGTTGAGTAAACAAAACTTTTGGCTTTTGGCAACCTTGATATTGCCTTTCTGATGGGGGTGGCATGTTACGGTAAACGCTATTAACTAATAAAAGGATTTTCAACTTTGATCAATGGCTGAACACGGACAAATAGACAGATAGGTTGGCAGGGAGGGAGGCAGGAAGAAGCACTTTCAAGGTTGTTGAATAAATATTTGCACCCCCCAACATAGCTTCGCCCCACAGAATATGTTTGTAAATCCTTTAATTGCTTGCTTTATTATATAAATATATTTAGATAACTTTGGTAATTTTATTGTTTACTCTACGATTTAAGTTAGTTAATACTGTTGTTAAAACTTCCTGTGCAAAATGTTTATTAATAGAAAGGAAAACAGGATTTATCCTTTGATCTTTAAGCTTTGATAAAGACGAAGTAAAGGTATTAAAAACTATATAATAAATGCTTACATGATTCTCTCGAGTTAACGGAAACTTCTTATGATATTTCCATCAAATAATCTTCCAAGTTTATCACCTATATTATAATTAACTTGAAATAAACTAAACCAAATCATTTTAGCCATAAACATACATCCAAAACTGTATCTATTTTCGTATTTCATATCTCAACTCAGCTGATTTTCCCCATTTTCTGGCTACGATCGATCGTGGATCGTGGATCGCGTGACGTGTTGGCCAAATTCGATACGATAAAGTGCACGTAGACGGGGGAAAACAAATAAATTTACACATTTTATGGCACTCACAAGGGAAATAAACGACGGGATGGATGGCAGGGCGGCAGTTGCATGTTATCAAAATTAGAGGCAACTTAAAACTTATAAATACAAGACGAGACAGTTAGAGGCAAACAAAATCCCCAAAAGGTGTTACAATTTAAAACCCAAGAGAAGTTTTCAAAAGGGAAACGGAGACGGAAGGGGGCCAAGATACAAAAAAATTAACGTGGTGATCAATTTTATGGGTTCATTAGCGTGCGCTGGCAAAATGACGCCAAACGATCGATCGTACGACGGTGTGGCTTAATTTTGATTTAAATTATTGTTTGTATATGAATATATATATGTTTACTTATACACTTTCGTTGCGATAAACGTTAGCGGGTATCAGAAAAGTACCGCCTACACCTACTTGGTGGCTTTATCGGCTAGAGCTCCCCGTGCGAGCCATTCATTTCTCGATTCTGATTCCGATTCCGATACAGATTCCGCTTTCAATTTGTTAAAACAATTGACAGTAATGTATGGGATTCACACTGGGGCGGCAGTGTCTCGGTGTCTGCTTCATAAATTATCAAATTGTCTATTACGTGTCGAGTTCCGAAATTGATTTCAGACACGTCAATTAGCCGCCTGCCCATTGATGGATGATGAAACGGGCTACAGGGCTTTAAATAGCTCGAATTGCTTATGCAATAGTCAGGAACTTGAAATTCAGTATTTTATCAGCTTTCAAAGTCTCGTGCAAAGTTTTCTTATTAACGAAATCTAACCAGATTTAACTTGCTTGCTGTCAGTCAGCTGCAACAGCTGAAACTTGGTATTAATATTGCATTGAAATCGAGAAAGCTGGCATCTGAAATACCTCGAAAATCTTCTAACATGTAAAATAATATCAAAAATAAAAGAAGTTATATATATATATTATCAAAAATTGTTAAATTTACTGTACTATACATTTGAAATATTACGATTTTTCTTCTGTTCTTTTCTGTACTCTATTCTATCTAAACTTCAAACTCCTTTTAGATACAGAGAACATAATGTTAATGATATTTTTTAATATCAAACCATTTTTATTCAACTTTAAATATGAATTCCACAGCTCTTTAAAGAGAATTTTTTACCCGATTTCTATTAATTTCTCACAAAGATTAAGTCGTTTCAATAGTTTCTCTAACTATTTAAATTTAAAATTCTGTAAATCTGTGTACTTATTTCTGTTATGTTTATATGAATTCCTATATTTCCTATTTACATTTCTGATAAACTGATAAAAATCTATAAAATTCGTGGTACTATATCCTCCAAGTTTTTCTATATTCTACAATACTTCTGCCTGAAAGTGCCACACAATTTACATTCACGTGCTGCCGCCGAGTGGCGAACAAGTTGGAAACCGGTTTTTTCGGTCGGCCAAATTGCAACACACAAAACACACACACACAACACACACTGCAAAAAGGCAGCTGCAACTGGAATTGGTTTTTGTATCGGGGACTGCAACTGCAGCTGACATTGAACTTGAAGATTGAAGTAGCTCTTTCTTCGCCCGGAAAGGGGTTGAGCTCACCTGGCGCTGCGATTCCCCTTATCATAGACCAGGGACCAGCAAAACGGTAGCAAAAGTACTCGAACATTAAAATGTCAGCTTAAATGGCACTCGAGATATACACATTCCCGATTACCAGTTAAAATGTCGCCGGTAATTATATACAAGTGTCCCCATATATTTACAATATATGAGTCTATTAAAATATTTGATAATTGGAAACGCATTGCTTGAGTGCCACTATAAATCATGACGGCTCATAAATATTTGTTTTTCCCATTGATTCCAGACAGAATCGTTAAACCCTATACTTAAGACTCTGTAATACCCATTTCAACTTGACTTTAAGTGCACTCTCATAGAGAACAAGATTCACTTATTGGAATAGGTTAGTAATCGGACAATGGAAATAGTGTAAATTACAGTTCTCTATTTTAAATTATCATATTACCAAGTGTTGGCACTTAAAGTAGCTAAATGAGCGAATAATTGCGGTTATCTCTCACGTTTTTTAGAGTGAATAATAACAGGCCATTGCATTGACACAATTAGAATATTAAATTAAAACAATAACAACAAAAGACTCAATTAGCATTAATTAATCGCGAGTGCTTAAAGCATTGTTTTATTGTATTATTATGTGAGTTATTTTTAAAACAAGAGCTGCACAACATTGCATTGAACTTGTAATAAAAGGTTTAATATTTGTAATGGTTTATTAAGTTTTTATATTATATAGGATTATATATATTTTCAATACTAATCTTTAATAATCAATTGTAAATATCTGGCTTTAGAAACGTATATATTTTGTTTTATTTTCTATACCACAAAATACTTTAATTTTGCTTTAGTTGTGTTAAATATTTAAACCACCGTAACTGCACGTTCAGGTACTTGAAATATATTCCCTTTTATATATGTATATATTTAAATATTTCCCCCTTGCTATATATTTTCGGTCAGCAGTGTACTTCCACCGCTTTCCACTTGAGTGACAAATTTTTGTGGGGCCATGAAGGATTTATGATCGACAGCGTTCGGTTGTTCCAAAGGTTCAAAGCACTTCAAATCAATTGCATTCGAAACGAGCCAACGTACACGATATTTGAAATGGAATGAGACCATTTGGCAACGCTCCACTGCTCACAGAAAAACAAAAAAACAAATAGAGAGACAAACGGAAAACCTGAAAATCGGAATACCAATTCCAACTGCAAATAGCAAACCGAACTCTAATTAGGCTACTGCGGCTCTGGTCGTACTAATGACTAACTGAGTGACAAACTGATTGACTGACAAACTGACCAACTGACAGACAGATCGACTAACGTTAGGGGGTCTGACTAACAGAAAAAGTAACTCCCTATCCAATTGATGATCGTTTCTATCACCCCTTCCCGCGATAAGCCATTTTCATATCACAAAACACTCGCAAGGTTTGTCAACTGTAAAATATATATTGTTTTTCCCAAAAGCGTGTGAATATGGTTTTCATCAGAAATCCCCTTTGAGGCATTTTTTAGCCATAATAAGAACTGAGTCCAAGTTTATTTTCTTTTGTTTTTAAGTACAAATATGCCTATGCATATATCCATATCAGACATTGTTGTTGCAAGAAGGGGAACTTTATCGTATCGCAAAATGATGCGCTTTTGCTGATTAACCACTTTTAGACTGTTTTTAATGATTCATAGTGAAACCCCAGACTTGGTGAAATACAAGGTCTTATCTTATTAAGAAATAAAATAAGTAAATAATGTGCAATAGTCGCTTAAGTAACTAAAGTAATAGTTTAATAAATACTTCAGACCATATTTTATAATTATTTTTAAGTATGACATTAACCCAATAGTACCTCAAACTCAAAGTCGTTTAAAATCATAAAGTTAGGACTATTTAAACTCTTAAATATTTATTTATTTTCTTATTTCTGTTTAGAGTAATGCAGAAATATAATAATAAACCAAACCAAGAGAAGCTTATAAACAAACCAAAAGTTCAAAGACCCAGACATATTTCCCCAACGTTTTCAAGTAAATATTTGTTTGTTATTATATCATATTACTTTGATTGGTTTAGGATCATATTATGGTGTTATGAATACAAAATTCAGTCTTGTAAATATTCCAGAAGGGTAAGACATTGAGGACTTTGACTCTTGTAAATATTTCAAGTAACAGAAAATAATCTTACACCCTTTCGTCTGAGCCAATGCCTTTGCACCCATTCCCTCTTCCTGTTCCTTGCCTGGTGATATTAAACACTTCGATTGACCGGCTATAGCGAAATTCCATGAATCGCAGGAACAATAAATACTACTCTCAAAATACAAGAACTCAGCAGCAGCAAGCAGCTCCACCGCAAGTTGTGTAAACAAAAGTGCAGAGCAACAATTACAGCAGCGGCAATAACAATAAAAAGCAACTTTAAGCGTCATGATACATTTTGGTTAAATATCAGGCAAGAACAATAAGAACAAAACAAAATGCGAGAAACGAGGCAAAAACAAAAAACAACAAAGTAAAAATAAAAGCAAGGGAACCACCAGAGTCGAGATAAACAAATTCTAGTTAACATTGTGTGTTTATCGTGTGCGGGTCGCGACTGCAGCATGGTTGTGGCAAGTAACCAGGGGGGTGGGTATATACCGCGGGGGAGAAAAGCCAAATTATTGAGCCATTACTCACCAGCAGCTGGAGCCCCAAAGGGGGGTCGAAGGGGACAAGAGATGCCACTGCTACCAACCATGTCCCATGTCCAAATATTTGCGACACCGAGAATAAAAATGTTCCAATCAGTGGCTTCCTATCAATTTCCGACTATCAAGATATCCTCTATTTGTGGCTTATCAACGTGACACTTTCAATATCAAACTAGCGTCTGAGCAACTTATTAACACAGGTTATATCAAGCCTGTTCCGGTTTTGGCCTTTATTATTAGCCCACTTCCATTCGAATTTGCCTAAAAATTATAACAAACTAGAAAGAAAGGTAACTTTGGCATGTCGCAGTTTACAATTTCAATTTGCAATTGAATTATGGGATCGATATTTATCTATATTTTAATAGGACAATTTATTGCAGAAATCAAAGTTTAAAAAACGTATATTTCTTTTAATTCTTAATTCCTGATAGTTTTTATTGTAGTAATAAATCTGCCTACTCAATTTCAATAGCATTTTGTAACATTTTTAAAAATTTTAACGATGTAACCCCCTGAATAAATTTAGAAAAAACTTCTAGATCAACTCTGCTGTTGATGCTGATCAATAATATATATGATTTATAGACTCGGAAATTACATATAACGATTTCCTTAAAATTTACATTACAAATTACACTCAGGTTGCATTATTTCTCACAGTGTTTTGTGAGAAAGTGCAACTAGCTATTCACGTGCTGCTCAAAACCAAAAGGGGTTTGGGACCTAAAGGGGTGTGAATACTGAAAGGGGGGTGCAAATGGGAGTCCCGCAACTAAAGGGGGACTTGGAGCACACACTCAGCACGCTGATAGCTGAAATTCCCCCAAAGTAGAGGTTTTGTTGTTGTTTCTAAAAATTTGCATAAAAAGCAGACAAACTTAGCATAAAGCGCCGCGGGGAATGAAAAAGAAACACACACGAATTGGAGGTGGGGAAAGAGAGAGCACATGGCGATGCTGAAAGAGAGGGGGGAACTGGAGAAAGAGAGGGGGCGGCAGAGTATGGAGCTTGGAGGAGTGGAGAACGTGGCACGACGTGCCGGGTACAACTGAAACTGTGTTAGCTTTGCTTGTCGAACAAACAACAAAAACAATAGCAAAAAAATATATATACAAAAAGCAACAAGAACAACTAAAATACAGAAAAAAAATCGTAAAAAAAACATAAAACACACACTTGCCCCTGGCCCAAGATCCAAAATAGAACCAGTTTCCAGAGTTTCAGAAGCTCCAAGTGCTCCCAGTTCCCGCTTCCCGAGTCACATGCTGCAGTTGCTCGGACCTGACTTGATTTATCTCCTTCACTTGCTTAATAATTTGTCCGACAGTAATTGAAAATCGAGGCCAAAAAGTTCTTAGCCAACAAAACAGGGAACCACAGCGGCAGCAGCAACAAAAATCCGCATAGTATTTTAACAATATTTAGTTCCGCAATTGTTTGGCCTGCGAGTAAATTTTCGGCATTTTCTTTGACACTTTTCCAACTGCGAAAAAGCCCAATAAAATGTTTATTTTTGCACGGAAAGAAATTATATTATTATACATTTTTCCAATGTTTTTGCTATATTTAAACTTTTAGTGATTTAGTTTTGGCACAAAAACCAGGTTAAATAAAAATATATATTAGAAGCTATCTTAAAGTTATGGCTTGCTTTAGTTCAACAACTTTACTGACAGTTTAAGTAAAATTTATTACACATTGTTATAGTTTTTAATTTTTAAAAATTGTAAATTAAACATTTTCACTATAAATTTAGAAGATAACTTCTTTATTGACATGTATTTTGACTTTGAATTATAATTGAACTGCTTCGTGTTAAAAATGTAATGAAACATCTAGTTTTTCAGTATTTTATTGTAGTTTACCTTAAAATAAATTCAAATAAAATAAAATAATGTGTTTATTCTTAGTTTTAACCGTTCTCCGTTTATTTCAAAGGATTTATTATTAGTTTTGTTAGAATTTGGAAGTTGTTTAAAAGGAAATTCATCTAAATTACATTTTAATTTATGGTATTATATATATTTTTGAAGGTTTCTGATTTATTTAAAATGAAATAAAACTTTCCATCAATTTAAATAAAGTTTATTTCCCTGGCATTGTGTAAACATTTCAAGTGCACCCTTCAGCTGACTATATTTGTTTTCTGTGTAACGAAATGCGACAAAAAGTGAAAATATTCACAGTTTAAAGATCTTTCCGCCCCGAAAATAGCCGCAGCTCAGCAGCAGCAACAGCAGCAGCCGCAACAACAGAACGCAGGCAGACAGAAATGAATTTTATAATTGACACGTACTTGAAGTGGTCTTTTACTTATTACTTTTTTCCTTACCTTTTACTCGGCCACGGGCGCCAACAACAACAACAACGACAATAAGAATAGCAACCACTAATGACGTCGCCACTTGGCGAATTTCGAAAATTTTCCACTGTGCCTCAGCGACAGCTCATTGATTAGCATTAAGGGATTTATATTTCTTTTATTTTCTTATTGATCTCGCAGGGTGCAAGTTTCCCTTTGGTTAATTTCTTCGCATTTCGTAATATTCGCGGGGTGACAACAAACAAACAATTGTGGGCGGTGGGACGGGCTGGAGGGGGGAGATGGCGCGACTCACACGCACACGCACGCAACGACGAACGCGTCGATAAAAACAACAGACGACAGAGACAGCGAAACACGAACAATTGGCAGGAAAAAGCAACAACAACGTCACTGCTGCTGCTGCGGTGAAAAGAACCTTTGTGTATATTTTTGTTGGCTTTTTACTTTGTTTTATACTTTTTACTCTTTTACGACTTTCGTCTTGGACTATTCGCGTACGCGTGCAAACTTGAACTTGGTGGACAGTCGGCCGCGGCCGCCTTTCTGTTCCGTTCCGTGTTTTTGTGCTTTGTGTTTTTCTGTGCGAACAGCAGCACGTTTCTGAGCGTAATGATTTACAGTTCCTGCCGCAGCACGTTTTTAACCGGAGCGATCGAAAAACGCAAACGCAACGACTGAGAGCGGGCGCTTAACAGCTGGCGAGCGGAGCGGATCGCTCTCTCTCTCTCTCCCACACAGCGGCGATGCAGGGAAGTTTGGTGGATGAACGGTTTAACTTCAAGCCTAAAAGCTTGTACAAAAGAATGTCTATAACTCTTTGGATTTTGTTACATATTATATGATTCATTTTTGAAGACTTTGGAATGCAATAATTAATTTTTACCAATATCACATGGCGTATACTTAATAAAAAATTACGTATACGCAGTGTGTCACATATCCTTGAAATTGTGAATAACGGTTTTCTTTATATGCTTTTAATATTTATTAATAATATCATCTTTATAAATTTCTTACATTTTTCAATTTATTTAATATGCTTTTTCCAAGTTTCTAGCTCATGGGAGATTTCTCTGACTGTACAAGGCCACCCTAAACGGTGATCACCCTCTCTTTCTCTTTATCTTGCTCTCTTCCTATCCCATTATCGCTCTCTTCATCTTCCAACATCCCTGACACCGAAACTCTCTCTTTCCGGCAGGCTATGAGCTTAACTCTTCACAGGGACCCACTGCGACCCCATGGGGTTGTATGGGTCGCCTTATCTATTAATATAACATTGCGTTTGATTTTTTATCTAAAAATAAACAGAGCACTGACTGCAAAGGCCAATATTTGTCCAACAATTCACGCAATGCAAATTAACGGGGCTCCGACGCTCTAATTGATTGATTCGCATTGAATTGGGAGACGACAATCGGTTGAGAACTGTGCGGCAATCGCAGAATTTCTCCACAACGCTCAATGGATGGTCATAATTTTTACCAACGTCTACATGTCGAATAATTTTGATTGCGGGTTTATACTTGAAAATTTATGACAAACAATTGCGCCAAATAATGATTAAACGCAGTCAAAGCATATACATAGGTGTGTTTCTGTTTTTTCTCTGCCCATTTTTTTTCTGTTTAGAGGGTGTGAGGTAATTGATAACGGTCTGCGAAAGCGAATGATCAGGACTTTTCCGATGGCCCTACGTCAGAGTTGAATTGGTTGTGAAAATATATTAACTGCTTCACTTTTTCCACGACACCATCTGTTGACTGTTACAATTCACAACCAGTTGATAATTGGTAATTATACACCACAAAAAAAAGGTGGACAGAAGTGGTGCGAAATTTTTGTCATTTCAATAAATTAATTACCGCCTATTTGACAGCTATTTTGATCGCGGGCCAGGCGATAGGAAAATTTATGGCTTGAGCCGCGGGGTCTTTGTCTAAGACGGCGTATAAATAAAATGTCAAGTGTGTGAGCCGAACGTCACACTTCTACACACTCGGAGTCATATTCGCACGATTAAAAGTCCATTAGATGATAAGCACCGGCCAAAGAGTTACTCACTGAGGTGAAACGTGGGCGAAAAAAGTAGTCGATGACCATCAGAGGGTTAAGTTCAGCCCGAAAGCTGGCTAGTATATAGCAGTAAATGAAGAGCAAGGCCAAAAAGTAGGCAGCTACATTTAACTGAACGATAACAACATTTAACCTTGCAGACGAAGATAAACGTAAACACAAAAAATCACTCGAAAATTGAGTGGGAAATTGAGCGCAGGCGTCGCTGTCGTGGTGAAAAGCTTCCCCTCAATGTTTTTTGTCCCAAAACTGTTGCTATCATTTGTTGTTGTTTTAGCTACTGCTGTTCCCTTACCGTTAGTAGTGGACTTTGGTGGACTACATCTTCATTTTATCATTTGATTTACCTGCAAAACTTTAACAATGCTCACTTCCGTCGCCCCTCGCACTCCGCGTCACTACCGAAATAAAGATGGGGGATAACCATGAGAGAGCGAGAGAGATGAAAATGGCGGAATGTTGCAGGCTCCTGCTGTCGCTGTGTGTGTTTGTGTTTGTACAGCCATCGGGTGTCCCGTTAGTTGCTCTTTTGCGGGCCCGAGAGGTAGTAGTAGTAGCAGACGTGAATATGGGCGGGGGCGGTGGCAGGGGGCGAAATGCCTAAGGGTTTATGTGAAACTATCTTTTTTCAATTTCCCCGCTTCTTCTTCTTCTGCTCCTGCTACTGCTACTGCTTCTTCTTTTGCCGGAGAACGGTGTCCACATAAAGAGCGGAAATGGAAGTTTTGTAAATGTTTTCTTTTGTATTTCTTTGCAGGAGAGATGCCCATATGTCCGTCTTAATGCACTGAGAACAAAATAATATGCAATTTAAATATATACATTATTAGGTTAGTAATAGAAATATTTCTAGAAGCTAGCTCTCTTATTTTAAATAGGTTTTAATATTTTTTTGAGTATTTTAAATAAAATAATAACAAGAAAACAATAAACATAGAATTAGTGATATAAAGTATTTTTTTAATTTCAATTATTTAATTCCTTATAAAAGTATAAAAAACCTAAATTCAATTAGTTTCAAATACAAATCTATGTTCTTAACACTTTTTTTGAGCTATATAAAATAAGTTTTCTATACAAAAGTAACACAATTGGTGGTAATACTAAAATCCTTACAGAAACTGGCAACAAACTAAATTGTATGAAGTCAGATTCCGCAAAAAGTGCAAATAAAAAAATATGTTCCTTTCGCCTTCACTATTTTTTCTGCTAGTGAAAAACTTGGAAGGAAAACTGATATTGTTATGGGTTTTCCCTCTGTGCAGAAAGGCACCGCAAATACAAACGCAACACGGCGCCTTTGAAAGATGAGCGAAAATGGATCTAGTAGTAATAGGAGAGTGTGGTGAACGGTGACTGCCAAAGGGGGTGGAGTGGGTTATGGGATGCTTCTGGTGGTGAAAGCAGGACGAGATTGGGCTAAAAGTGGGCGGTGTGTGAAGGACCACATGGCCGGGCAACTCGTGCACTTTAGTTTTTGGCTTGCAAGTGTTGTTCCTATTTTTTTATGACACTTGACGCCCAGCCAAGCCATTCGGTGGGTGGGCACCACCCACCCATTCACCCACCCCTTAAGCCGTGGAGATGGGCGTCTGGGTGTCCTTCGTTGGCTGCCAACGTTTTGCCGTCATTGTGTTCGGCTTCCTTTGCACCTTTCGCCTGCATGGAACTCCGTTTGGTTTGCCTTTTTCCTGCATTGATAAGAAAGTGCTTTTTAATAGCCCTACATATGTACACTATGGTATTTGAACACAAGGAAAACGGGTTAGGAATGCGGAGCAGAGGTGGCAAGTGGATTGAAAAGATTGACTTTAATTGTCCTACATTTCTATGGAACGATGGGGGAACAGGAAAAATACACATTTATATATAGATGATTTTTGAAACATGATGCGGAGCTTATTTATAAATTTATAATTATGGAAATTATATTAAAGAAAGCTTTCTTTATTGTTTAACTTTATTGTCTATATTAATTACCAAGCTAATAGACTTTTTAAGCCTAGAAAAACTTTTAAAAATATGCTAATTTAATAAACACATTTTATATTTCATATTTTAGACAATCTCAGACAATTGAAAATAATTCATGGTCTCAATCTTGAGGAATTCCAATATATAATTTATATTCATCCCTAATTTTTCCCTTTCCCTTTCTCCCTTTTTATTTTAGCTTCTGTGCGTGTTCCTCAACTTTTTGCAGTCACTGTAAATGCACGCAATTGAGACTCATAAACAAAGCCCACTATCAGCTGTGTGAGTCACTCACGGGGGGCCTCTCCTGCTCTTTATTGTGCTCTTAACATTATTCCAATTGAAGTCAAAAAGCCCAGCTAGATAGAGTGGCAGAAGAGAGAGCTTTCTAACGCTCTGATCGTAGCTTTATAGAGTCGTAGCCCCAGGTGGATTCTTGGGTGCCCGCTCGGGTCTCATGCGTAGTCTCGCCAGTCAGTTGCTTCGGCGCTTTTGGCTATTAATAATAACAGCAAATATGACGCGACCGCGACTCTCTTGACGGAAAGTTATAGCAAAAAAAACTAAATTGATCGCATAATTCAAGGTCGCGCTGTGAAGTAACAATAAGTAGTTTTTTGCGGAAAAGAAAACGTAGAGCAGCAGGTGGAAGTGATATTCAAAGTTCTGAAGTGTCGCGAAAAAAAATACAACGAGCATTCAAGAACTTCAATTTAATTACGGCACAAACAGGCATATTTGGACGACGATAAGATAAGCCAAAGGTGAGTCTTGATGGCGAAAAATTCAAATGGAAAGGAATTTGCATGCGGAGACAAATCTGTGGCTGTAACTGAAACCACCGACACTGCCAGTAACCCAAAAACGGGGGAAAAATACCGAGTGCGAAACCAAAGCAACAGCCGCAGAGTCTCGATGGTGTCATTACTATCGAACACTGAGAGAAATCGAAGAGTGCGGAATAATAAATAAAAATATATAGATGAAAGATATATAAAGAAAAATATTATAATATATATTTGATATCTATATACAACTCATACATATATACAAATAAATAAGAGATATTAATTGTACTAAATACACTTATAATTTATATGGTTTTATATTTTAAACAATTTTATAAATAATAACAACATTTGGAAACTATTCAAAATTCAGACAATCATTACTAAAATAAATAAAAACTAGATATATAATATAGCCAAAATATATATAGTCAGGCAAAAAGTAAACTTAGGCATAAAGCTGTTTTAAAATAAAGTTTTCCTCAGCCTATTCCCATCAGTATTTCTTTGTGACAGACTTCAACATTCAGAACGAATTTCTATAGATTGCCACTAGAATCCGTTGGGAATTCCAAGCTAGAATGACTGCTAAGTGCTTTGGTATGAAAAACCTGATTCTGATTTGAACTTTGTTTCGTTCTCAATTATTATTTATATATTCTTTATACTTAAAAATTACATTAGTTTTTCAGGCATTTAATCTTAAATATATTTTGATATTTATTTTCCCCTGTGCACTTACTATATACACTTGACGCTCGTCATCTACTTTCGTTTCCCCGGAGTGCCATGCATATTAGATATCTGGTACACAGGTTAAAACCGACCCAAAACGTGTACCGCATTCCACCTGCTGCTCCAGGGCCTAAAGCCTGGGCCCAAAGTCAATGAGCGGGGTAATTGTTTAAACAAGAACAACTGAGAGTAGTCAGAGTTGTGCTGCCGGGCATACAAATCGATTGCCATGGCAAATATCACCCATACGCACCGTTGTCCCATCCCCGCTCTCTACTATGGACCGAAATGTGTGCGAAATGAATATAATGTATAATTAAAACTAATTTGATGACACACTCGACTCCGGGAGAAAGACGAAGCCAGTCTCTGAGAATGAGGCAAGGTGCTGCAGGAAGGGAACTCGTGCCAGTTGCGTAATTATTATGTGCACAACACATATGGCTCGTTACACTGATGAAGAAGAGTTGTGGCAGTGTGTTGTGTATGTTTACATAAAGAAGAATTTTTTAAGTACGCAAATTGACAAACAAACGCAGGCCAAGACGAAAACAACGAAGACGACGACGATGACTATGGCAATGACGATGGCAACAATTTGCAATTACCAAGGCTCGGAGTATGGCCCAAAGGCCCCGAAGTTGCTTCCCCGAAACTCCCAGCTGCGAAACTGCACGCTCCGTTGATGGCTTTAAACGAGAGTGAGAGGCCACAGCAAAAGCTGTGAGCCATGTTAATAAAGACTAAGTAATAATTAAGTGGCAGGCATTAAGGTTGCCATGGATTCGGCATCGAATTGAGCCGAACGATGGCCATCGCAGTCCGAATGCATTTATGACCTGTCCTGCTGGCCGAGTAACTTATTCACAGCATGCAAACGGGCTTCCTGGTGGAGCACCCAAGTGGAGTGGGTTTAATCTTTCTCCTTCGAAACGTCATAATCCTGACAGAACAATCAATACGTCCATCACTTTTCCTGTGGTTCACAATTAATGACAATAAAACGACATAAATATGAAGTTTTGGGAGAGAATATACTGAAAAATAAATAAACAAATTTATAAATGATATAGATCTTCATAGATAACGATATTCTGAACATCTCTAACCATTAAATTGTATATCAGGTATCTTTTTTTAAATTTTTTTCTATACACCAACATTTTCAATATGTTTTTATTAGGAATATTGTTAACATACATTTATTGAAATATATTAAGCACAGTCAAGCAATATTTATTGTTGGTATTATTATTTAAGATTTAATGTCAACATTTCCCAGTGTAACTCCACTCCAATATTTGACCTTGTCACTTCACTTAAAGGCTTACGTTAAGCCTTGGTTTTTGATCCTTCATTCAGTTCACGTATCCTGTGATTTTCGAAGTCTGCCAGGAGAAGGCCTGGAGGCGGTTGCTCCCAATTTGCTCGAATAATTTTCGGTGAATATTAAATATAATCAGAGCTCAACACACACAACACACAAGTCAGTAGACGGTAATCAGTAATCAGTAATCAGTCCGAAATCTGTGGGCATAAAATCACATGCATATTAGAGCCAAGCTAACAATTAGTTGCAGGCTAAAATTGCCAATGTCCAGAGAATTTAATTAATTTAAAATCTAAAGCCTTGCAGCTGTATGCTCCTGAAGATATTTTGTGTAATGTAATAAAGGTTAGCATTGGATATGTTTACAGAATACAGATTATTTACTCTACTATAGAATTCGTTGATTATACCAAGTACCAAGTATAAAACTTGTGATTCAAATTCTTCCTGCTTTCAATTATAATTTTAGGCCTTTATTTAAGTTTTATTTCGTGAAATTAAACTCCTTCTCCGCTTTTCAAACTGCTCTCCCAAAATCCTGATTGCATCGGCTTATGAAAGTCAAATGCCCAGAAAAACTAGAATAATTGAGCTCACAGGTTGTCCCTTGTCATTAGCCCCTTGTGATGACTTCGGAGCCCGGAATAGGGAGCAATCAATGTCAAATCCTGGCGCTGTCATCAGGAATACAGGGCACCAGGGCAATGGGGGGATACAGGAATATGGGGTTCGACAGGACTTCAATAAATGCGCCCGGTGATTTCACTCATCTATGCAAAACAATCTTTTGCATGCAATTCATGCCGCCAAAGCCAGGTCGCTCCATTCAGGCGCTTTTCAAATTGCAAAGGCAAACCTGGCCGGCCCAAGGGGGGTGGAAAAATCAAGGGGAAAATCATGGGGACTGAGGGCTGTAATTCATTCATATGCATTCACTATATGGCACTCATCAACATTCGGTTCACACATGCTGGGGCCAAATCCAGATGTTGCCTTTTTCTGCTCTTTCGGCACAAAATTCTTGAATTGAAATTTGCCGGCAACTGCATTGCGCATACGCCGCGTGTGCTGCATCGAGTTTTTGAAATACCCAAAGGAGGACGCCGTCTGCTCCTATTAACGTGCTCATTTCCCCATTTGGCGAACTAAGGATTCCGAGAAATCCTTTTTGCCAAATTTTGCATCGAAAACGCTTCCGCCGAGACTCAAGCAGCTCCACCAACTCCTGTTGCTCCTCTCGCTGTGAAAATAATATTTAAATTTATGATGACAAACTTTCAACGCCAGCTGCAAGGATTTGCAAAGCCAGAAGCTCGCCAAGGATGCCCCAAAAAATGCTAGGGCAAAACATATATATTTTTTATTAATACATATAATACATATAATATATATATATTATGTATGGCAGATATATGTCCTGCCGATATGTATGCATGCATGCACATATTTCGTTTCGTACATTTGAGAATTCATGGGTGAGAGTATCGGTTTATATCTCATGGAGGCAAGCGGACGCTTTCAATATTCGCCCGGCTTTGAGCTTACTTTTTCCATTTCCCAGTGTCATTTTTGAAAAATTGATTTATGGCCAATAGTGAGTGGGCATAGGGGTGGGGCAGGGGCTTTGGAAAAAACCTATCAAGTGTCTACTGCCGCTATCTGTCCCCATCCTCTTTTTTTCCGCTTCCACAACCACTGATGCTGCTCCTCTGTTTGGTTTTGGTTTTGCCCATACATTTTTCCCGCTGAAGGCTTTGAGGAGGCATCGACCATCGACAGCCGCCGCCACAGCCAAAGTTGCTCAATAACCAAGCATATAGATCAGTTTTTAACAATCCACTGCTATATTGCTTTAAGCCATTTTCATTGTATTTTCGAGGATTGGATATGTCGCGCTTTAACCCGATAAATTGCTGAATTGGGACATTGCCACCCATAGACGTGGTCATGCACATGCAATTGTTTCTTATATCAATAAAATATTCATATTTTCTGATGAGAATGGAATATATACAGATTGATAGCAGAAACAAAATATCAATAGCATTTTATGTCCAATTAAATGGAGGAATATATGTATGAATTGTTGTTGCTGATTTAGCAAGTCTTTAACACCGAAAAGCAACAAATGAAAATATATTTTAAACATAACTTTATAAATTTTAATCTTTAAATACAGTTCAATCCTCTAGATTTTATTTAAACATAATATTTCAACCAATTTTCAACTCTTGAGGAAATAAGACATTATCTGAACCCCCATTGCTACGCCACTGAAATGCCTGGCCATAAGGACGAAATGAGCCGTCAATTAAAAGGCACAATAACAATAACAAAAACAAAAAAAACATCATCAGAGAGAAGCAACAGGGGGTGGCATAAAAAAAAAGGTTCACAACCCTTGGCCTGGCCCGTAAAGAAATTGCTCATTTTTGCGCATTTCAAATGGAAATTATTTCGCATTCGCTGAATGAAAATTGCCAGCAGAAATTCCACTCAATCCCCTCAGACAGTTATGGTGTGTTTTATACTGTAGTGAGTTGTAATTAAGCGTTGACTTGTTCAATTACCAAAAAAAATGCAATTGCTTTCGGCGTGGATCCTGGGAACAACAAAAGCCGCAAACGTCCGCGTGAATTGTCGAAACTTTGAGAACTACAACTACCTGGCCGGAACCCGGAACCCGGAACCCGGAACTGGCACCTGTAGCAGCAACCTGTATCCGCATCCGCATCCCCTCTGTCAATTTGCATTAATGGTGTGGAAAGAGCGGGTTTGTTTTCTTCTCTTCTCTGTTTTTATTTTTAATTTTTTTTGAGGGAGAGAGGTCTAAAAGTTACGCGTTGCAAGTTGGCGGGTTAAGGACGACGCTGCATGCAAAATATAACTTGGCCTTATTCCTTCGCTATTGCGCTGTCAGCCAGCGAAGTTTTTGTTTGCATTAAAATTGTCAGCGGCGGCGGTGGCGGCAAGTTTTTGGTGGGGTTTTGTTTTAATCATGGCACAAACTTTGCCCCGACAGGCGGAACTCGGTGAACCCATAGAACTCCGGTTGCGGGACCAAGGTTCGTGTCCCCTGGCCCCCATTTCTGACACATGTGGTGGAATGCTATTGCCAGGCTGAAAACACTGGGGAAAAATTATGTTAAGAACAATTTGTAATCTTATATACATATGTATAGTCCACCGATCCGCCATGCTCCGACTTATAGACTAGTAAAATTATATAAATAATAACTCCATAGTTTTATTCAAAGCTTTCTCTTCAATTTGTTCCAAAACAAATCTCATGCATCTGTGCATATGATTCCCAACTGGTTCTAACATCCCCGAAACGAAGTGACTGCTGCCAGCCAACTCTCAGAAATGTGTTGTGTTACAAAATTTGCAAGTCATTGTTTATTAGTGTTCAAAGATAGTTACTGATCATACATTCTTACTAGTCATAGATACTTACTGATCATAGATACTTACTGCTCATAGTTAATTACTGATCATAACTAATTACGGATCATAGTTACTTAGTGTTCATAGCAACTTTCTGTTGAAAGATACTTACTTATCCATTATATTTAACAACCGTTTCTTCTGGCAGGTTTATTATATAGTATTTCGATTTTTATGAAACTTAAAACGAAATTCTATAATAATAAAAGACAGCTTTAAGGCAAACTAGATAAAAAATGTATTAAAAACTGTAAGAGGAAACATAGGTTTGAATTTAGAATTTATATAAAAGTGGCTCATATATAGTATTATAATATGTAATAGATATAAATTGTTTATTTAAATAAAAATGAAATAATAAGTAAAGTTAGATAATTCTAAGTTAATAAATGTAATATAGACGTTAGCTAAAATATTTCTAAGATCATAGTGTTAACTATCTTACCGTTTTGTTATTCAACAAAGCATTGATGATGAATGAGTTTTAATGGTTTCCAACTCTCTTTATAATATTCCTATTTAATATCATGGACAAATATTTTTCTGTGTGCTTACTATACATTTCACTGCATTCCTTTTTTTTGCGAAATATTTTTTTGTGCGTCGCATTGCACAATTAAAATGCACGGGGCATGGGCAAGCATGGCAATCCGAAGTGTTGTAAGCGCGCAGCTGTTGCATGCCGCATCGATTCGAATTGGGCAATGGTTATGCTTATGCATGAGGCCACGCCAAACGATGGAACAACCGCCTGGATATCCTTGGACATCCCTTGGATATCCTTGGCGTGTCCTTGCGCCACACCCCGAAAATCCTGCTCGGAGCTGGGAGCACCCAAAACTCCACCCGACCATTAACCAATCTTGGGGCATTACTTGAGGTCCAACAATCGGAGTTATTTATGCACATAATTACCTGCACTACTGCAGGAAATTTACATATGCGACCGATATCGGGGATACGCCGGGGATTTATCCTGCGCGCATACAAAATGTTGAATTAAGACCGAAACTAGAAGTCGTCTCCCTTCAGCCGTATCCCTCTTTCTGTTACCTTTACCATTACATTTACCTTTGCATTTGCCTTTGGCTTATTAAATGCAAGAGTAACAAGTGAAAACTCGCAGAGAACACTGAACAAACTGCAAAATTGCCTCATTATGTGAAAAGGCAGCAAATAAAAGTTGGCAGTTAGCACAAAAGGGCCACGTAGCTTTCACTGTATGGAGTTGCAGCTGCTTTCCGGGGGAGTCATGGTGGCAGCAGGCTTTTCCACAGGGCGTACGGCGTGGGCGGGGGGCGTGGCACTGAAAATTTATGCAGCACAAAAGCCGCGGCAAATGTAAGTAAGCCAAACGACATAAGCAGGCATAAACACAGCCGGATCAACTGAATCCAGCAATAATGGCAGCCGTCGAAATACCCTTTGCTGGGATGTGTATAAGAAGCTCCTAAGACACTGATTTAATTGGATTTTACACAGAGTACATTGATATAATCAGTTAAACGGGGAACTCGGATGGGAAGTCGGAAGTGGAAGTGGTCTGTGCTGCTAAGTTACCAATTTAAATTAAATGTTAAGCAGCATAAAAAAAAGGTTTATAGCCTTGAAAAGTTTTTCTATCAAGTTAATTCTTTCACATGTTAAGCTCTTTAAAAATCTAGTTCTTAAAATTAAACAATCTAAATAGTTTATGATAAAAATTTTGTCGAAAATGGAGGGAAATATACATACAAATTAATATAAAATACAGCTTAATTAGACTTTGTCCAAGGCATGCCTTTAAGTGCTTATTAATATTCTAATAACTCCAAAATAATATAACATTTTAATGTACAAAGCTTAGAAGAGAAACATAAATTTATTAGGTATTTTTACAAGCTTTACAAACAAAATATTAATTAATTAAAGCTGTACAAACTTATTAATAAGTTACAAAAGAATGTGCCTAAACATTTGGTTTTATTTTTATACTCTAAATAAATTCCTTACATCTGTATATATCTTGGTTTTCTAATCTTATCTTAGCCACATGTGTAGTTTTATCTTTATTTAACCCAAAATACAAATAAAATATAGCTTGTTTCCATAAGCTTTCAGTGAAAAATACCTTTTCGAGTTGAACTCGATCCGCACTTGAGTTAAATTACCCTCGAAATAAGCGCTGTCATGAAGGTGGTTCCTTCTTTTTTTGCAAAATGCATTTCCTGTTTAAATTTATTTTGAAGCCAATTCGGTTATCGAGTGGAGCTGCGGTTGCGAACCCGCCAACCTAGTGGATATGGCCTCGATCTGGTTCCGGGTCTGGTGCGAGGGCCACTGGCACAAAGGACAGCCCCATTGAGTGCACCGACGCGTCGGCAGCTCCCGGTGGGTGTAAATTTTGTTATGCGGCAAATGCGCCATAAAGCTCACGAAGCAGTAGCCTCTACACTTTGGATAATATATATTTTTTTACAATTTGGTAATTTTATGAGATTATTATCATGTTTTTTATAGGAATATTTAATTATTGTATCATTATATTGCTATTGCTTCTTGATATTTAGGTATAGGTAGTTAGGTAATGGAAATATTCAATATAATAATCTCTTACAGATTCAACTTAGTTGAATATGCAATTTAGGAAAAGAGTTTTCTATATTTCGTGGTATTAACTCTTATTAAAAATTATTATTTAAATTACAATAAATCATTTAGCTGAATATCTCTAGATTTATCTGCAAAAACTTTAATTAATTTATTTTAATGTGAGAAATTTTCCCAACTTTAATAATTCCTTTTTCAAAATCAAATATAAAATATGTAGAAAGTATTTATAAAACATTTCTTAAACAGACCTTGGATGAATTTTATTCCAAGTGCAGGATGCAGGATGAGGATGAGAGTCCAGGAGCTGCCTGGGATGCAGGTCTTCCTTCAGCTTTCCCCAAAGGCAGCGCTTGCATTTGCGTGAATATATTCCTTTCTCTCTGTTAGCTGCCCCTCTGCAATCGGAGGTATGAAAGAGGTTTGGATACGGATTCGGAGCTGGGTAAGGGTACGGGTTCGGAGACGGAGACGGAACCGGGTCCGGGTCCGGGTCCGTCCGTGTTGTGCATGTGCGGCACTCTAATAAAATTTAATAAAAAACGTGCAGCGCGGCATAATGCAATGGCAATGGACTCGCCCAAAGGGGTCTGGGATTCTGGTGCGGATTGGGGTTGGACTTGTGGTTAGAACCCTCTCTGCCTGTGTGTGTGTGTGTGTGTGTGTGTCTGGGTTGATGGTTCTGGGGGACAGGTGTATCATTACCTGCACGCCAACCGCAAGCTCCCAGCATATCGATATGGATATAGCAAAAGCTAAACCTACTCATTTGCGTCTTCCGAATAACGAAACAAAAAAAAACAGTCCATCCATTTGACTCTTCTGATAAACTTACTTTTACACAGTGAAAAATGTGATGTTACTCCTATATTTTATTGAAGAATAATTCAAGGTAATTTTAAGTTTAAGGGTTTTAGGTTTGATTTTCATTTTTACATTATTTGTTGTGGTTATTTGATTAGTTTTGAGACTATTGTGAAAGAAGTATTTATTTCTATTTGTGGGACAAATTTTTAAGGCAGTTGTTAAAATATTTTGTGGTAGTTTTAGAGCCTTTTTCGATATGATTTTTAAAGATTTTTGAGGCAGTTTTGTCTTATTTTTAGAAGGTGTTAAGGATACTATTCTGGCTTTATTTTGCCTAACTTAAAGAGGTAAATTTTAAGGCAGTTTTGAGTTGTTTGTGTATGAATTTTAATACGTTTTTTGGTTTCTGGTTCTGTGTATCAATTTCAACGAGATTTTTGAATGAAACAAATTTTAATGACCGTTTTTAAGCAAATTTTTAAGTATCAAATTCGAATAAGCTCCATAAAATATATAAACTAATTGAAACTTTCATAAAGTATTATTATTTAATAACGTATTTTGTCTTATATCCAGTTCCAAAAAGAAGAGAGCTCCATTGGTAATAAGATGCCATGGGCAAGTGTGTCTCCCGGCAGTCGCCTCCGCTCAGCCATCTCGAGGAGATCGCCTCCTCCCATGGCGGAGAGCATCATCAATCTGTATTGACAATCGCATTGTCTCGCGAAGACTTGGCCCAGGCGCACAAAATCTGGCAAGAGTTGACAGCGAGTAATGAATACATAGCAGCCACATCGTCACGGGACCAGGAGGAGCAGTACCACCAGCATCACCATCAGGAGGAACTGGAGGAGCAGGAACCCTTTTACTATACCATAAGCCGGCGGCATATCGAATCCCTTTACATCGATGCCCCAGTGGAACCACTGACATCACCCGACGGCGACGTGGTGAAGTACTCCTCCACTTGTCAGGAGTTCCTGCTACAGGAGCTGCTGCAGGCCATCGAAACCGCCGAGGAGGAGCAACAGCACAGACACCAGAATCCTGCCAGAATCAGGCCAGAACCTCAATTACAAGCGGAGAACAACGGCTGGCTGCCGGCGGTGAGTAATATTGATAAATGTTTACAACTCACGCGGGAATTGTGGCGAAAAGCGAATGAAAAACTGTCAATAAGTGTGTGGCATCCTTTGCCGGAAAAAATTCGAGTCGAGACTGGAAAAAGAGATGAGTCTGTGGAATCTGTGATTTTGGGTCAACCATCCTCCTCTTCTCTTCTTTATCTGACATCAATACTCTTTGTTTGTCAGGGAACTTTACAGCCAATTGTTCGGAAAATTTAAAGGAATAAAAGAGAGTCGGAAATGTAGAGTGATACATATTGATTTTAAATTAAATAACAACCAACTGGGTATTGATTGTAGTCTTTTTAAAAAGTAAGATTAATACTTACACCCTTAGTTCTTTAAAAACTCTAAAAACTCCTATTAGAAGAACCTCTTCCTTAAATTTAATCAATGTTTACCAACATCACAAGTCTGCTTACCACGCAAGCGTTTAAAATAATCATAAAAGTGCCAAAATTGAGGCTGACTAACGAGGTCCTTGGCTTACCTTTCTCTCTCTCTCTCTTGACTTTCCCTTAACAGTTTAGGTTTACATATTCATATTCGTATCCTCCAAAGGCTTATTACAAGGTAATTTTACAAACACACACACACATTCCCATGATGAGGAGAGCCTTCAAGGACGTTCCCTCCTCCCAACATATCATATTTCATGCTTAACCAAAGCACTTATCCCCACACTAGACAGTTTGGTTTCCTCCCCCGGCAATTGACCTTAACCAAATTTTATTTTACTTGGATTTTTGGTCTCGACGGGCTCTTATTACATCTAAATTTTACATGAATCATGAGGATAAAACCAGCAAGAAAAATATATAAAAATGCAAAAAAATAACAACCCACACTTCATTTCATTTTTGTGCATTCTTGATTTTATAAAGTGTGTTTTGGTTTTACAAAGTAATTGTAGGGACGTTAAGGTATCAAGGATACTTTGCCATATTTAAATTTGAAACTTTAAAATTTAATTTTCTAAAGGAAAGATTGTTATTTGAGATGATTATTCTAAGCTCAAAAAATAATGTTATATGGTCAAGAATAGTGTAAGGATTATTATTAAGTAGTATAGTTGTAGCTATTAGGAATTTATTTACTAACTTTATTAACTCTATTAACTTAACTTATTTCAAGCTAAATTTGAAACAATAGATAGGGTTAATTTTCGGTTCATCCATTTATGCTGCTTATTTAAAGGTCCTTGTGTTTTTTGCCATAAATTGAGGGATTCATATGTGAATACTGGATACTATATCCATTTTAAAAAAGAAAACTATTTATATTCTTTCTATTTCTTTAATATATTAAAGATCAATTATAAATATAATATACAGACAAACTAAAAAAATAGTTTCTTTATTTTTATATTCACTTCTAATATTAATCTTTAACTATATATATATTTTGTGGTATATTTGTTCCCATATCGATCTTTAATCTTACATATATTGATGGTACTGATACTAATTAATAATTAAAGATAAATTTAAATTTATTATGCATAAACCATTAAAAAAAAAAACAAACGTAAAACCTAAACTAAAAACTGAAAACGGAACATTTTTAAGCCAAATTTTCTTAATTAACCTTAATTTCCTTGAGGTGTGTAAAATACATACATTTCCACAACATTTTCCCACATTTTACACCAACATTTTCCACCAATTTCCCACAACATTTTCGACCAGGTTAATTTCCCGGCTAAGAGCCAGAGCAAGCGTTGCCCGATAGATGGCACCACCGATAACCACCCCCATTTTTAAGGCCACTTTCCACAGGCAGCCACTTGTTTTCATTGCTCTGCGCATGAGCGAACACTGGGAAATTGGGCAGTTTCTCTCCGCTTTTCCTTCACATTATCCCCGCTTGTGGTCAAGCCAGAGAGAACATTTAGAGACCAGAGACTATAAGGCATAGGGAAAGAAACCCATTCTCCGTGAGAGTTTTCAGCTCGCCATTCAATTTTCCGTGTGCCGTGCTTTCACAAGTGAAAATCGTCGCCACTTGGCAGCAGCAGGAAAAAACTCAGCAAAAACTATAAAAAAAACAAGTGAAAAACTAAATCGAAAAGAAAACACAAGCAGGAAGAGTGAAAAACCCAAAATAGATACAATCGAACGAAGCGTTTGCATAACTTGAGGCGCAGGTGGAAAGTGTGAGCAATCTGCGAAAGATTTTTCCAGCAAGCAGCAAAAGGGATTTTCAAGGACCTCCTGTGTGTGGGTGTACGTGTGTGTGTGCATGTACTCGCAGGTCCTCCCCAGCTCTGTACGTGTGTGTGTTGTGTGTACCTCAAGTGCAATTATAAATGGCGTAATTTCGTGCGCGTCGGCCGTGTCATGAACATAGCCGCCTTGCATCCCAAAACTGACCTTGCGGACATCAACGGGATCACCAGAAACGGGATCAGGACGTATCCCCAGCGCAACAAGGAGGAGGAGGAGGAGGCTCGCCGGAAGAGCGAGTGCCCCTGCCGACGACCTGCAACATGGATGAATGCGACAATCCCGTCGTCGTCACACTAGAGAAATTCGCATCCGCATCCGCTTCCGCATTAATCGTATCCGCATCGCAGCCGCACGAGGATTTCGCCGAAACGAGCGAGGATATTTGTGACAAAGAGCCGAAGACCGATGATAACGGGGGAGTCCTAGACACAGAGGACCTCCAAACATCGATAGACGATAGCTCAGCAGCAGCAACAGTCGAGGAGGACGCAGCCGTTGACGCGGAAGTCGAGGCAGTCATCATGGTACCGCATTTAACAAGATTCTTTAAGAAAAAATATATATAGAGATTTTAAATTAGTTGCAAATTGGGTGTAAAAGTAGTTGTGAAAAGTCTTAATATTATAATACTTTTAGCCAGCTTGTCAAGTTTTTTAGTCCCTACAGACTTCTTCTGAAAGTCTTTATAAATAGTATAAATGTTGTGACTATCCTAAATCCATTCAGTAGTTTCCATCTCATATAAAATGTATGGTTTGGTGGTGAAAAGTTAGATACGTGTGTTAAGGATATACTTCCTTGGAATAAACCTAAAATATCTGCTCCAAAGAGACACATATTTGTGCTTAACTTAATCAAATAAAATATATATAAAATTTCACTCTATGCTACAACAAACTCACATCATCGATACATATCTTTGACAGAACCACCTCCACATAAAAGCGTATCTATTAGATATATTCCCTCATTGGTATTTATCACGATTTCATAAAAAGTATCTCGTAGATAGTTATTGTTTAGTAGGAGCCGAGTGACTCATGTAGTTAGTATATATATTTTCTATTGTCTATTGTTTGCTTTGCCGTTCGGGGGAAGTCCTCGAGGCTCCTTTGTCTTCTACTATGTGTGTGTACGCCTCTCATCTTTTGCTGACCCGATTTGCAAATGGTTTTCGCTTTCATGGTAATCGCTTTTAACCCGCTCTCCTCTTCTGTTACCATTTTAGGGCCAGGCGGAGAGCAAGAAGCAGGGCAGCAAGTCAAGTCGCCGGCACCACCACAATGCAAATGGAAATGGCAACGGCAATCCGACGGAGACACAGGATCAGGCGGTGCACACCAAAGGCACTGCCATGTCCTTTGGCTTCCGCAAAAAGCTCAACGGGACGCCCAAGAAGTTCAAGAAACTCCTGGAAGGAGGCGATAAAAACGCAACGCTAACGGACACAAAGGACGACAATGGCAATGCAGGTGAGAGTTGAACCAAAACATAAAGGAAGTTGCAACAAAGATAATTAAAATCTATTAACTTTGATTAGTTATCCTTTAATTTGAAAGTATCTTTTGCTTAACAAATATATATTAAAAGCTAGCCATTGTTTATTACGATTATTTTCCACTTAAGTTCCTAGCGACAACCATTAAAAACTCCAAATATAAATAACGATATAAGCTTTAAACAATACCTCTCTGGTTTGGGTTCATTGTTTCATGAGTTTTAGCCTTGGTTTCCTAACAAAAACCGGCTTGTGTCCCTTCTAAAATTGGCCATAACCGGCACAAGTATTATGGCTTTTTAATTTGGCGACAATTTGACCAATTTAACAACGACCTGACATGCCAACTATACCAATTCCTTCCTCGTCCTCCTCCCTCCTTACAGCTGCTCCCATTCACTTTGAGAAAGTAGGCGCCGCCGCCCAGAAGACGGCCTCCCAATTGGCGGCAGGTGCGGCCGGTGCCCGTTTTGGATATCGTGGGGCGGTGCCACGCCCCGCTTCCACGGGAATAACTGCGCCCAGCGAGGAATCCGAATCCGAGACCACGGCCAATGTCCAGAATAACAACAATAATAACAATCGAGGAGCGGGAAGCGGTCCAGTGCTGGTGAGCAATTGTAAGTATCACAGGGAATCGAAAAGAAAACTTTCTTTAGCTTTTATATTGGTACATAGGAAAAAATTAGTATGGGAATTGATGATCAATATAGGGAGAAGAAATATTCATTGGAATTATTTATTGAGATATTCAGTTAGACATTTAGTAATATATTTATTTGAATATTTCCTGGTCTTCATTGTTTTATTTATAAGGATATTTATTGCAATGCTCACTGGAAAATTCACTATTAGGTTTACTAAATTACTTTACTTACTTGAAAATTCTTTGAAATATCCATTGGGATCTGTGTTGGAATATTCATTGGTGTTTTCCCTGGAATATTCACAAAAATATTCATTAGGGTTTTGATCAAATATTCACTCGAGTATTTACTTGTGTGCCCACTAAATTATTCATTGGGATAATCATTGGAGTATTTCTGGGAATATTTACTGGGCTATTCAGTAAAATCTTCTCTATATATTCACTGAAATATTTATCAAATTAATCTACTTCATTGAATACTTAAATACGAATATAAAACACGAACTTCTACTCCAATATTGATACTTTATATTCCCAATTCCGTGCAGTGAAAAGGCGCTCCAAGAGCGCACATGCCGGCGGCACGTCCGGCAGTGGTGAGCCCAAAATAGCCCAGCCCAAGACGCTGACGTTCAATCTGAACCAGAACACAACCATTGAGTACCAGCGGCGTCAGTTCTTCGGGGAGATTGCGGACGACACGTCGGGATCCGGCATGGGATCGGGAACGGGATCGAGAGGGATGCAACCGCGATATAATTACAACAACCTGGCCAGCATGCATGCCAATGTCATGTGAGTAGTGATCCTATGCTCGAAGGATAATCAATATTCAATCGGAAATCCTTAATTTCAGAGTTCGGCCCACACCGCGTCCTACGCCTGCTAGCTATGCCAAGTTCACCCTGCAAACGGTGAGCCTTCCCCGGCCGGAGTATCCGGTGGCCATCAGCCTGACGGCCACCACACCTACCACGCCCAGCAGCAGTGTACAGTCACCAGTGCCGGCTCATTCGACTGGTGCCCGGGCCAAGGACACCTCCACCAGCTCCAGCTCACGACAGCACCCGTTGACCTCCGTGCATGTCCAGCCGCAGGCTCAGCAGCGACATCTCGACCAGAAGAGTGTCAAGCAGCTGACCAATAATTCCACGCGGCGAGGATTCTCTGGAAGTCGGGAGATTAGCGCCGACTCTGGGATAGCCAGCATGGACATGGCCCTGGATAGTAGCTCCGGAAGCTCTGTGGGCTCCAAGCGAAGTCGCAGTCGGCCCCGGAACCTCAAGATGGTGATGAGTGGCAGGCACACTTTCGAGGTGCGGGATGCAGATGATCCGCCCTCCAGTGAGTCAAACTCCTTTGTGGAACCTCTGGCACTTCCAAAACTGCCCACAGATGGCAGCCAGAGTATTCCCTTGCCCCTGCTGGGCTTGGTAAGATCCAACACGGTGCTCAGCCGGGAGAGTTACGAACGCCGTCAGGCTGAAGGATCTCCAGGATCGCAGGATCACAGTGAGGAGAAGCCCAAGACCCAAGGCAATGGTGGCTCCGATGAGAGCGAAAGCGTGGACGAGGAGAAACTCTACTTGGACTCGTCCACCTCCGAGAAGAGTGCCAAACAGCAGCATAGTCAGTCTTCGGTGGCCTCCACTTGGCGTCTGCAGGCAGGTGAATCCCTGGCTGCCCAGGATTGCAGCAGCATGTCCATGAGCATCAGCAGCGACACTCAGGCACCGGATAATGCCAGGGACAATAATGACAAGGAGGAAGACATGTCCCTGGGCCTGGATGAGATTAGCTTAATCAACACGGACATGCAGTTTAGCACAATCTGTAAGTTATATTTTGGATATGTTTTTGACTCTATGTATAATCCTTTCCCTTCCAGCTTCAATGACGGAAACTCCGCCTAAAGTGGGTCAGGTGGAGACGCTGCTCAACATGCATCTGGTGGATAACCGCGAGGTGGTTGCCACCTGCTCTTCCGGCGATCGTCCGAGGTCCTTTAACAATGCCCTAAACGAATCCAAGTTTGCAGAGTTGGCCTTGGCTAGTAGTAGCTGCCTGCTCCTGGATGATGAGACCTCTCCCACAGATAGCTTGGTGAGCAGCACGGAGGATTCCGAGGAGGCGGCCGGTGGCAAGCTGCAGAAGCACAAGCTCAACGAGGAGCGCCAGCAGAAGGACATCGATGAGATTGATATAGATGAGATCTCACCAGTATTAGAACTGGATTTGGATCCTCCAGGAAGTCGTAGTCCCATCTCACCCGGCACACCCACTCATGCCTCGCACTCACTTTCCTTGGGTTCGGATTGTGGAAACCTCATTGACGACGAGATTGCCGATCAGCCGGCTCTGCTGTGCAACAGTGAGGCCCAGGAAGCGGCCACCGATACGCCCACTCTGATGGAAACCCTGACCCACACCCAGACGGGATCTTTGAGGTCCCTGAAGAGTCAGTCGAAGGCTCGCACCGCTCTCCAGCAGGCCATTGAATTGAGTCTCAGGACTCCGGCGGCAGTGCGAAAGGCGGTAATGGATCGAGCTGAATCCCTGGATACCCTATCGCCCTGCGAGTCCATCTGTTCCGATGATCTAATGATGGACTTTGACATGAACAGCAGTCTGGATTCCATTGATCATATGGCAAATGCCTCGGGACGCAGTCGCAGTGGCTCGGATTTGCACAGATTGGGTCATGGTGGTCACGATATGGATGTCACTCGGGCGGAAACGGAAGCGGAGCTGCTCTCAGAGCTGGAGAGGAAGGGCAGTGATGTGATGAAGGAACTGAACACGCTGCTAAGAGGACGAAGGCAACGAGGCGGTCCAAGAGAGCGAATTAGGTGAGTTTTGATAAAGATTTATTGATTTTGTTAATTGTATGTGTATATATAATATCTTGAAATTCATATCTATCTCTTAGAGATCTAAAAATGTTACTCATAATTTCGATATCTCTCTTTTGCCGAAGCTAATTGAATTGACTGCAGTGAGGTCAGAAAATACTCTGGCGGTTCGCTTTTGATTTGGTTTTATTATATAGAGTCTATAGACTTTGCTCTTGGCAGTTGGCCAACCAATGTCGGAATATTATTAAGTGCATTTTCCTCTAGAGTTTTCCCCCGCCGGACTTTTCTTTTGCAACCCAATTCCACTTGAGGTGCTGCAAATCAATCAGCAGCCTCTCCCTGTTTTCAGCGCAGCCTGTCTTTGTTCTTTTATTATTATTTATTCTCTTTTTTTTTGGCTGTCCCTGCCGGCCGGTGAAATATTGCACAATTTAGCCCTAGAAAGCCAATATTTGGAAATATTTATTTTAGATTTATGGATAGCTTTGGGGTTTTTATAAAAATTTATGGAAATTCAAGGAACTAGAAGAAGGTAAAGGGGAATTTTGAAAGGAAATTGTAATAGCAGAATACATAAAAAGAAATGAATAGATCAACAATGACTAAAGTTATTTTATTTTGTAATCATAAACCTTACTGTTTAAGGCTTGAAGTTCTTCTACTTGAAATAGTCTTTTTATATCTTTAAAATAATATAATTAATGTACTACTTGTATTATTCATTTACATTCTACAAAAAAGTTATGAATTAATAGAATCAATTCTCATTTTATTAAAAGAGCTGCTTTTCCTACCTTTAAATATTATTCCCTTAAAAGTCCCCTAACTCAACCTAGTGTTAATGTCAATTTACATAGCACATCCCGGAATATCTCATCAATCGATTTAGCCGGCAAAGCAAATAGCAAGTGAATCTCACGTGTTTGCCTGTTTGTTTTGCTTCTTATTTATTTATTTTGCTTTTCGCCTGCCAAAGGGCACTCTGGGGTTAATCAGATGCAATTTACTTCAGCCAGCTCAGGGCTTTGGAATGGCATGACGCCCTGTCTCTTGCCCCTTTCCTCTCTGTCTCTCTCTGGTTTTTTATGGCCAAATGGGAATGGAAATGGAAATTGAAATTAGCCCAAAATTAGACAGACATCATAGGGACAGGTTGGAGCTAAAAGCTGCAATGGCTTTTCGGCTTTTTGGCTTTTTGTTTGTGTTTTGTTTTAGGGTTTGGCAGAGTTGCCAAAGGTTACTCCACTCGGAATTCCCACTGCAGTTCCCGTTTGTCGCTCCCAATTGCTAGTTTTTAGCGCCGGCTACTAGAAAGAGAGGGGTTTAACTGGTGGAGAAAGAGATGGGAGACACTCCATAGAGACAGGGATATTCGTGGCCCAAAACATTCTGGCCAAGTGAAGCCAAAGCCAAAGCCGAAGCCAAAGCCAAAGACGCGACCAAAGGCAACGGCACTTGGCATTTCCAATTGTCTACGCCATTGTCTCTCTTTGGCTAAAAGCACTTAAAAAAGTGGATAAACTTAAATTGGTAATACATTTTCTTTATTTTGTAAAGTTTCAAGTCAGTCAGCAGTTTTGTAAATTCATATTTGAGACTATAAATGGCATTTCCCTATTTATTATGATCAATTTATGACAAGCCACTGACCTTGGACAACAAATCTTAGACTTTCAAGGTTTTTGTTATAGATATATGTATAGGTAAATGCATATATAAACAAGAAAATTATTTAAAACCAATAAAACTTGTTCAATTTAAGTTTTTAATCTTTGTATTCAATCTATATTTGACCTCTTTATTATTAATTGATTTGCTTCAAGACTAATAAGTTATCTTTATTATTGTAATTTTCTCTGGTATTTGCTTTCAATAATTTAATACCAGTTTGATGAGAAAAACTGCTTAAAGAATTGTGTTAATTAATAGAGAATTATAAATTATAACAATTTATAATTGATATAGAGTTGTTCCAGCTTAACTCGCTTAGTTTCTGGTAAATAACAACTTCGAAAAGTTCAGAGTTCAAGCTCTTCTTTTTCTAAAAACTAAAGCCACAAATTTTTTTAACCAACAGCAAATATTTCTTCCCACAATTATTTTCCACTCAAAGTTCTTAATGCATAAATTAAGACCAAGTTTTTGTTCTCTGTGTGCCATTCCTGTCTCTATCTATGGGAGCTCCAGAGACTGGGTCTTGGCTTTTTGGCCAAATCGTGGTCGCAGTTAAGATAACATTTTGACTTTGGCCTGAGACTTGATGGCGAGTGCCGCATTCTTTTGTCATGGCAACAGCAACAACTATTAACATTGCAACTTAGCAACCAGCAACCAGCAACAACAACAACCGGCAACGGCACGACATCAACATCACCGACTCCTCGATGGAGTCGTTTCTGGCTGTAAGCAAAAGTTGGGAAAAACTTTATTGCAAGGAAAAATCAATTGTCTGAGAGAGGCGGCGGTAAATACTCGTAAATACTCATAGATACCAGTATGTGAACCTGTTTCGCGGCCACCGAGCCAAATAGCAGCAAAATGCCGCTGGCCAAAATGGCTAACCTGTCAGTGGATGGATGCAAGCCGTTAGGTAGATGCGCCTGCGTCGGGACATTGGCTTTCCTTTTGGCCAACAACAGCTGGGCCATGGCAAGTATCTCTCGGATACAGATACTCCAGCAAAAGTCGCATGCAAAACCGCACTTGTGGATTAACCTTGAGACAATCACTGGCCAGTGCATGAGTCATACTTCATGGACAAGATATATTCCCCCGGCAACCGCTCACCTCTCACCTAAATAAATGCTGAATAAGCCCACTCAATCTTGGCCATTATTGGCTTGGCTGCAACAGAGAGACGCCTTCTGATTCCTCCATCTCTCTTTCGACATTCCCGGCTGCATACAAATATTATGGCCCGGCTTTCTTTCTTTCATTCTTTGGCTCCTTAGTTGTTGGCCAGCATCTCCTAACGGCTCTGCCTCACAGACACCAAGAACACTGAGCACACTGAGCACAAAAGCGGCCCAAAGCCCACATGGTTAACTCTTTCGGCCCACCAGCAACATTCTTTACCCCAAGCCAGCCTCTTTCATGTTGTTGTTTGAGTTTGGGAACGTTTGGCAAGAGAAACATTGGTAACAACAGCAACCAAGCACAGTGGGTTTAAGTTGATTGATTTGGGAATGGATATATAGATTTAAAAGAAGTAGGGAATAAACAAGGTTATTTATAAGATAGAAGAATATTTAATTCAATTTCCGGATTGGAACATTTATATTTAAAAATATTCCCTTTTATGCAGGTTTAAATTGTGAGACATAAGCAATTGCTAACCCAGATTTCAATAGCATTTGGATAGTATCCGTAATACCTATATAAATACATCTCAATATATCAATACATATTAATATATCAAATAATATATAATATTATAAATGAATATAAAATTTCCTTTAAAATTGTAAATATATTCAACAGATTAAAACGATCAAACATTTGTTCTCCCTTTTAAATATCCAAAATAGTACATAAATCGATCAAAGCTGATCATCAAGATCCCCTTAAAGATTTCCAAGTAAAAATATATACCTTAATGTTTAAACAAATCAATTAATAACGTCCCACTGTAACCATGTTCCATTACCAATCCATACCACTGCATTACCACTTGAGCTTGGTGGCTCCAACTTCGATTCCGACTCCAGTATTAAACACGATCTCAAAGCGCGCGGTTCGGTTTCATGGCTCAGTTCATGCTTGACGCATCTCTCCCCCTGTAAAATACGAGTAATAAATTATATTCATAAAGCAATATCAATCCATCAGCAATATCGGTCTGTGTAGAGCTGCCAATAAAGGCAATTGTTGATTGGTTAATTGTGCAAGAGACGTTTGTTGCCGTTCAAGAAGAGCGTGGGAGCTGCTGTTGCGTAGATTCCAATTAAATTGCGTTGTTAATAACCCGAAATAAAAGCCAAAAAATCGAGAGCCAGTGACCGCAGTCGTCGCCTCCAGTGATACGCACCGGTGCCTCTTCCATGCCGCAGATTCAGATACAGGGCTCGGATACAGATACAGATACAGATACAAAGGCGTACGCATCAGATACAGATACGCGCTCCAACGACGACGCCATCGAACGAGCTTTCATAACAAAAGACACGCCGCGGGCACAAGTGTCAATGAAACGAGCGTTTTGGCCAAGAGGCACTTCGCATTTGGCCTAGACCCGTTGACTCAAGGGAGGAAGATAGGTAAGGTTTTTGCTTAGCGAACTTGGGATATTATATAAATTTTTAACTCTAAATTTTTAACTTTAAATGTTGTAATTAAAGCAACAGTAATTGTTAAAGACAAGCGAGTATTCCTACCGGATGAGCTATAATTATACTTGATTAACCCAAAAATAAATAATTAAAATGATATATTCATAAATCAAAGTCTAAGAATATGTCCCCCCCTTAGTATTTAAGCCTTAAAAGTAATTCGTTTAAGCCATAAAAGTCAGCCTGCGGTTGAGTATTTAAAGCATTCTCAGCATTTACCGGCTTGAGCTAACGTTGTCAGAAGCAGACAGTAGTTACAAACAGGGCCAGAAACCTTAGCCAAGTGGTAGCCCAAAGTGGGTGATGATTTCCGCTCCTGGCTTTTGCGTAATTCGATATGCAACCGGGGTTAAGACAAAAAAAAGGTAGAAGGGAAAAGGGAACAGGGGGCTGAGCACAATGGTCGTAAAGTGTGTCACATGCAAATGCAGGCAGCGTTTGGAAAATCTTTTGGAATTTGATGCCATAAACGTAACAATTACAGATATCAGGCACACATAAAAAACACACTCCGAGTGTGTGAGTGTGTGTGTGGTATAATTTCGGGGCAAAAGGGGAGAGAGAGGTGCCCCCTTTTATGGCTTTTCAGCCACTTCAAGTTCAGTTGCATTTGTGGCGCGTTCAAGTTTTGGTTACGGATACGAGAGTACGCGTTCGGGTACGGGT